GTTTCGAGCGTTTTAGTAGCTGGTTTTGACACATAGGCGATTTTAGACGACGCTACCAGTATCTAGGATACCTACACTGCCGCAATAAGTAGTCTGGCTTGTGGTAAACATTTAATTGGACACCGACTGTAATCAAAATGTATCATAAGAGTTTTTGTTCCCCACTAAACATAAAATAAGCAAAATATTAAGCAAAAAATTATTCGATCGATCATTAATAATCACTTTTAAAAAACTGACGACTGAATATCGATGACAATGACCAACAAGAACAACAGGAAATAAATCAATATGTTGCTATATCATTAGACTAGAATATTGTCATGTAAAATATTGTTGTTTGCATATTTACCTTTTCTTTATTTCAGGGAAACGGGCCAGAGCGCTGGTGGTAATTGCGTGGATGCTCAGTGTGCTCTTTGCGACGCCTACTATTTTTCTTTTCGAAGAAAAACCCATCGAGGGTAAGTGAACAGTATGAGCGACTAAGGTTTTAAATAATAAGGGATGAAACGAAGTATGCACGCGTAATAATTTGAACATAAATATTTTATCTATATTAATCCTGAGATATTCCAGAGATTCCAAGTCTAATACAATAAGGGGATAGTTTTGTAATATAGGAAATATTTCGGGAATTTATATTAAGTTTATATATTCTAGGCTAGACAACATTTTTTTTTGTACTCTCTCAATGAGAGTTCCGAAAACATGGATTCCATTATTTCATACTGAAAATACTGTGCGACCAAAAATTTTATGAAAGTGTATCAAAATGCTAGAATATTGTTAAGATGTGGAATTTGTCCAATCAGAAATACTTATAAATCCACACCAGGCAAACCAACTCGTATCAAAAATGTATCATAAATGATCCTGATTTTTTCGTTTTATCATAAGGTATTTTAATCAAAAGCTTTGATGCTAATTCATCTGTATCATTCAAATTTAATTGATACAGGCAACACCAAATATTACGGGAACCTAAATAGGAAAAACTAATATCTAGACATTTTAAAATTTTCACATCAATTCGATTGTAATGAAGAACTAATATTGTTTGCAATTTCAGAAAAAATAGTGCTTACCTCGTAGTAAAAGTGCAGGACCTTTTTCGAGTAAAAATTTTATTTATGCTTGGTCTACAGTCATTTATTGTGCGGACGTATCTAAACAATTTTAGACCAGCGAAATATTTTAGAGCAGAACCAACAGTAAACTCGCCTTTTCTTGTACACCTATGTGCCTGGATGTCTGGAATTGTAGATAGTTACAGAATAAGCTGTAATATGAAACTGTAAAATGTTTAGCTGAAGCAGCAATTTATGTTCGTGTTGTCTTCAGGTTTCTGCACATGTATAGAGAATTCTCAGCTACATACCACCGACTGTAAAAGTTAATACTCCCAGTTCTTTCCAGAACCGAAGCTGACGCCATATTTATGGCAGTTTTATGAACTTTTCGCGTTTCTTTCTAATACATCCTCCATTATTTACGACTTCACCCTTAAACCCCATTATTTTCTTATGGGNACACACTGTAAATTGAATGAGTATGTACTGAATCTAAATAAAAAGGTAATAAACTTTTTGCTAAGGCAGATGTGTTTCTTGAATATTTTTTTCAATTATAGTAGTAAAATGAGTGATAGTGAGTTTTTACACTTTTCCTAAACGATTTGCCTGAAAATATTATAGTATTGTCATTGAAGCTAAAAATCAGCTGTAACCTCCGAATTCTTTTAAAGCTGCATGGATTTGCATGAAAATTTAGAATAAGGCTCATCTTAGGCTCAAGTTCCAAAGTGACATAAGCCCGATTGACGCTTTTTGTTTTTTAGGGGGAAAAACTACCCCTAAGTGAAAAAAATTGAAAAAAATAAGTTTTAAGCATTTTATTTATAAAAATCTTGTTCAAGCACAAAAATTAAATTATGTTCCATGTTCTCGAACATGTTTTATGATATATTTGATCTTTTCGACCCTTTATTTAACCCTTAAAAACTACTCCTATGCAAAAAATAATGATAAACAATTTAAAGATTTGGAATGATTAAATTGTGCAATTATTTAAAATAAAAGTTACCTTATAGCTAATAAAAGAATTTGTTCCTTTTCAACCCCTAAAACCACCCCTGTATTGACAAAAAAGTTAAAAAATTACTTTTTGAAAGCTTGGAATGCTTTAACGGTACAATTATTTATAATAAATATTCTCTCATTGCTTATGAAAGAATTTGTATCTCATAACACTTTTCAACCCTTATAAATCACCCCTGTGCTAAAAAAATGATTAAATCTTGGAATGTTATAATTGTGCAATACTTTAAAATAAAAAATTCCTTATATTGTTTATGAAAGAATATTTTACTTTTGCCATTTTCAACTCTTATAAACTACCCTTTTACCAATATTAATGTAAAATATTTTTATTATAATCGATTTTTAAATATAATCAATCATAAAAAAAATTGCTACGCTGCATATAAATAATCACACTAAATTTTTTTACTTATTTTATTTGTATAATATAATATATAATATATAAAAATGAGAAAGCCTATTTTGCTCCGAAAAAATGTCATTGGTTTTTTTACCATAACTCGGTTAATTTTGAAGCTATAGTATCCTACAAAAAAGCATTTTAAGGATAATTTCAGGAGCTGTAAGATCGTTTGCATATAAAACCTTTTAAGTCCTTCGTTTTTTTAAAGGAAAGGATCGAAGGGCTCGAGACAGGTAGTTTTTTCACTAAAATGGATACTTCAAGCGGCGATATCTCCTTTATTTTTTCTGCTATAGGAATAAAAAAAGCAAAATATTTGTTGAAAAAAAGCTACATTTTTGTTGTCTGTTATTTTTTACGTATCTTTCATAGTTTCAGAGTTGTTATATAAATAAGGCAATTTTTTTTGAATAATGAAAAATACGTTTTCAAATTTACCGTACATTATTCAAAAAATACGCATTCTAAACCGGTCTAACTTCAGGATCGTATGAAAAACACTAAAACAAAACTAATTGTAAAGGGTCTACGAATAATTTTAATTCTGATGGAAATGGTACAGCGTTTACTGCTCATTTTTCCTTAAAAAATATGAGCAACCCATCTGTTTTTGACGATAACTCCTTCAATTTGCTCTAATTATCTTTTATAAGTGCTCATTTTGAAGGTCTTTTTGTGTACTACAGAAAACTCCAGGAGCGTTATACACGTAAAATTAATCCTTTTTCCGTTATTTGACGTTGAATACATCGATTCAACTATTCCCGCCAAAACAAGCTCCCTTCCACTAACCATATTTGTATATGACGTACAACACTTTTTAACAAACGATTTTCTTTGTTTATTTATAAGCTACATTTTTGTTCACTAAAAATTTTTTAATAAAATGCTTAGTTTTTGAGTTATTCGCGAAAAATTCTTTAAAAAAGTGTTTTTTTTTTCACTCAAAATTCCAAGTTTTCAATCGTGAATAACTAAGAAACTATTGATTTTTGAAAAAAAAATCCGCCCACGAGAAGGGTGTCAACGCCTAACAGGGTGAAAGCGTCAATCGGCGCTATGTCACTAATGTTCATTGACCTTTTCTCTAACAATCTGCCAAATTTCAAGTCGATTGGTTCAGTTTCAAAGAATTTGGAGGTGAAAAGTTTCCATGATATTACTACAGATTTTAATACTCTTTTTGCTGATCGACATGACACTTCCGTAGTGATCTTATTTGAAGTAGATGAACTCTATATTTTTACTAACTACATTTATCCAGAGTTTAGTAAAATGGTACAAAATATGGATTAATAGTTAATTTAACAAACATTTAATATATCAAATTTCTTTACTCGTGGGATTTCTCTTCAATTTTCATTTAATTTTCGTTTTGAAATTAAAGTTACAGTTTTTCCGGAAAATAGTTATTGAAATGTATTGTAAAATTTTGACACCTTTTGCACCAGAAGAAGTTAGTAATTACTGTTATTAGCTTGTTTGATTTTCGTTGATCCTGTTAAATAAAATCAATACATATTTTTTTGACTTCAAAAATTATTATAACAAAACAGGTCTGTCATTTACTATACCTGAATCCTCCCAGAAAAAATCTAATTTATGAAAAAAAATACTGTCACTTATTAATGTTATACAGACTAGAACATTGGTTTATGCATGATGGAGCACCCCCTCAATTTAAAAATATTGTTAGACTTTTTAAACCACCAATATCCAAACAATTGAATTGAAAGCTCACAACTTTGTCCTCCACGATCACCAGACCTCAACAAATTTGACTTCTTTCTTTGGAGAACTTTAAAAGAATTTGTGTATTTCTCGCCAGTTGCGTCTCGAGCAGAGAGAACTTTAAAATCTATCAGAACCACTTGAGAACGCAACAAAATATGAAAAAGGCGTTTCAAAATGCATAAAAATTCTTCAAATTCGCTGTTAAATACATTAAAATGGTCCGAAATATCATCAAAATATTTAACAAAAAGGTAGAAGAGTATCAGAAGTAGAGTTAGATCAGCCTATTGGGACTCCCGTTACAGTATGCCCATTCGTTGCAAAGCACCCTGCATAGTTACCTTTAAAAATCAGTTTAAGAAATAATTCGCTTGCGGTATTCTTTCCAGACATCCCCCAGTGCTGGATAGACCTAAAGCAGTGGCAGTGGAAGGTCTACATGACCTTGGTGGCTCTGGCGCTGTTCGTCGTCCCCGCGCTCATCATCAGCGCTTGCTACGCAGTTATAGTTTGCACGATCTGGTCCAAGAGCAAATTGCTGATCCCCGTGGGACACATCCCGATCCGGCAGAGTGAGTGAATTCTATTAGCTAGTCTGGGGTGAGCGCGAAATTAATTCATAATCCCGATTTGCCCCGAAAAATACTTCGGAAAGTAGATTGGAGAGTCCTTGTAATCCTGAAATAGCGTGTACCAAATTTTAATAGTATAATTTCTGTCAGCCTTGTTACAGTATTTAAAATAAGGTTGTTTACGAAATTGGAGATTTGTTTTTTATGGTAATTAAGAAATTAATTATGGAAGGAAGAAGATTTTTTTTTTTTCATCATTTAGTTCTATACTGCAAATTAGAGTTACTTTAAAAATTAATTTCCAAGTTTGTAAACACACTTAAGAATTTATAATTCGAACTTTAAAGGTTGAATTAACATCTAAATAAATGAATTCTGAGAGTAGTTATTAGAATGCTTGTGCTACAAAGAGCTTTAAAAATGTTTCTTTTGCTACTGTTGCCAATTTCTTAAACTGAAAGATTTTATTAATATCTTTCTGTTTGGTCTGTAGGTGAGGACCACAGAGACAGGCCACCCAGGAGTTACCACGAAGACCATGACAGCCGTCGTGCCAGCTCGAGGGGAATCATTCCAAGAGCCAAAATAAAGACTGTTAAGATGACTTTTGTCATTGTATTTAGTAAGTTTACAGAAAAGTTTAAAGTAACGACACTGTCAGTCTGAAATCATTGCAATTTGATTGTCTATTCACACGTACTGATACACTTCAATATCGAAACAATACGACTTTCTTAGAATCTCAATCGACATTAGTTGCATCTTAGATTGTTGGAAATTACCGAAGTTAAATAGAGTAGAAATATTTGGCCATTAGGTTCAGTCTTGTAGAAATTTGGAAGAGGAGATTTAAGTGACAAATTCTGGAAAGGCAAGTGTGTACAGTGTACAGTCTGTCCAAGATAAGGATGGGATAGCATTATGATTTAGGAAACGGTAAGAGATACGAGGTAGCTCAAATTAGAAAAAAGTTGTGTTTTTTTGTACTTAACAATATGCCGTTTTTATTTTTCTGTCTATTTGAAAACGAATTTTAAAATAAATTGCATATTTACAGTGCCACTTTTTTCGCTCTATCCAATGGCGCCAATATTTTTGCAATCCGACGTTTCGTCTTCGAGGGGCCACCATCAGGTAAATTTTTTTAAATACGTCGCTGCTATTTTTATGACAAAATGTAAAATTATTTTTAATTCTGAATTAGATAATATTACTATTGTAATAAAAAGGGTTTTAGCTTGTTTTAGCATTTATCCTGAGTACGGTTCTGAACGTTTTCAAAATATATATTGGAGAAAGTCATAACAGTATAAAAGTCAATACAGCATAAAATATCCAACAATTTTTTTAATCAATAATTTAAAAAAGTTGTATCTAATAAAAAAAATAATACGAATTTATGAAATGCTTTATTATTCCTAATTAGTATTGTTAATAGTAGTAGACATTGTTGGAAATTTTGAGCTGCATTGACTTTTATACTGTCGTTATGACTTCCTCCAATAGATATTTTGAAAGCGGTCAGAGCCGTACTCAGGAAAAATTTCAAATGATAGCTAAAACAAGCTAAAAACCTTTTTAAGCGATTAGAAAAATTAATATCATCTAATTCAGAATTAAAAATGACTAGATTTTGCCAGAAAAATAGCAGCGACGTATTTAAAAAAATAACCTGATGATGGCCCCTCGAAGACGAAACGTCGGAGTGCAAAAATTTTGACCCCATGGGATAGAGCGAAAAAAATGGCAATGTAATTATGCAATTTATTTTTAAATCCGTTTTCAAATAAAGCTTGAAAAAAATAAAACGATTTTGCAAAATTTCGGGTTTTTCCGGATATCTCCGGAACTACCTGGAATTTTAAAACTTTTAAACGGCATATTGTTAGGTATAAAAAAACACAACTTTTTTCTGATTTGAGCCACCCCGTAACTTTTACCGTTTCCTAGATCCTAATGCTATCCCATCCTTATCTTGGACACACTGTATAGCTTAGGAAATGTAAAATTATGCAAATTATTCTAGCAATGAATTTATAAGACATAAAATTAGTATAAATTACAGAAAGAAAACTAAATTATTCCAAAATACAGAATTTCTGTTCAATTTTAATATTCCAAAATTATTTTCAAAAAGTTGTTATCGTTAATTTTTAATGTAAAATAAATTTATCAGAAAATTAACGAGGGACAAACCGCTGGTCTAAATTTTGTTAATTAATGCCCATTTTGCATTTAATGCTCTTAAATTTTTGAATAATGCTCTTTTTTCCACGGTCGGGAGTTGAAATCAGTTTCTATGACATCAAAATTAAAACAGAAGTAGTCGATTATTCCCAAGGGAGTATAATGCTCCCAAGGGAGTTTACATTATGGAGAACGTTTTTCATGCAAAAAAAAGATAACATTGAAATTATTTATTGACATTTAAATTAAATGTTACATTTGTACAATTTTCAAAATTAATATTAGAAGGAATATTACTTTCGCTTACATTTACAGTTTTTGTGATTGCGCTAGTAGTGGTACCTACTAAAACCTGATTAGCAATTTTGGTCTTATTTTCAATGGAGTTCTCGACATAACCCTCAGCGACTGTCGTTGATTTCCAACCAGCATGACGCTTTATTGTCGTGATATCCACACCAGCATCTGCCAGTAATGTCGCTGAAGATCTTCGTAAGCAGTGACCAGTATAACATGCAGCATCAGGTAATTTTAAATACGAAGCTACTACACTCGGAATTTTTCCCATGGTATTCTTGCCAACTGGCTGCGAACTACATTTTCCTGCTTTGTAGTACAAAAAAAGGCGCTTATGCTTGACGTGGGGAGGACGAAGGGACAGGTATTTTCGAAACAATTCAAGCATATTTCCCACATCGGTAACCACAAAGGTTCGTGGAATCTTTGTCTTAGTGTTTGGAATTTTTACAATCAAGGAAGAGCCTACATCCTCAATATCATCTACAGTTAAATTGACTAGTTCATCAGTTCGACAAGCTCCGGCAATCCCCAGAATTAATCCAACCTATAAAAAATCAAAATACTTAATAATTGAAATACCTAACAACAAAAGTAATCTTACCTTAATCATTAAGAATTCTTTGTCATCTGCACTTGATAGAAAACGGTCGATTTCACCCTTTGTCAATATTTTCGATTTTTTCGCTTGATATCCGTCACCGGTTCTTTTCAAAAATGCGATCAGCTTGGGGAATTTGCTTATATCTATGTTGTCGTAAATTATCAAGCATGACTTAACCATAGAATATTGCGCCCATAATGTGGAAGACTTGTAATTCTTTGCATTTTCACTGAAGTATGCCAACAAAACATTCTCGCTGTATACTTGAACATTTTTCTCGGCGCACCACTTTTTGAACCGATTGTAGGCTATATCGTATAAAGATCTTGACTTCGTAGGCAGCAAATTGCTTATTGCAATATTTGCAGCCTCCACAATCTCTTCCGACTCACAATTATTCATTGTGCACTAAACAAACTTTAAACTAAACCAAACTAGCACCTTAATTTGACAATTCTTTTTGTTTGTTTATTTTGTAGTTATGACAATAACTCAACGACTACTAAATAAATGCTCAAATCCGAATACAATAATTCTGGTGCTACTTACTTCATAATGACAAAATATGTGTTTTTAAGTTAATGAGACCGTGGAAAAAATAGTATATACCATTCGGGAGAGATGCTATTTTGTCCTCGGTGCATTGTAGCCCTCGGGCTTCAAATTGCACCTCTGCCAAAATAACGCATTTCTCTCCCTTATAGTATAATGTACTATAATATTGTCAAATGTCTATTGAACAGATATTAGCTATATTATCTTTTATTGTTGCTGCAGTCTTTAACTATACAAAAATAAGTGTGTCTCATAATTTTACATTACCAAAAAAGTTAATACGATATTGGAAATAATAAATAGAAAGAACCCATTGTCTTTATGAATACGTGAGCTCAGTCAAATTGGGTGAAATTGTGGTAAGTTGTTGGTTTTGTGATACTGACCTCCACAGTACTTGAGTCCGAAAATCAACTCTTTCCTACTTCTAAGTCAGTTCTGCTGATGATGAACTGCAAAGTACCATGTGTACAATAAAAACAGTAACTTTTGTGATATGATAACCAACAACTTACCACGATTTCAGTCAATTTGACCGAGTTCACATTGTCATAAAGACGGTGCAGGTCCTTTAACAACTGACAGCCATTTTACGAACGATACTTTCTTATCTATTTTATTGACAGCAATGTTTCAATACATCTGAAACTACAGATGGTGCCACATTCGAAAAAGTAGGGCCACTTCTGATCTGGTTCTTTTCTATCCCTAATTTTGTCACAGATATTTACAGGGTTTTCAACTTACTTGCACTTTTGCATACTTTATTATCTGAACTGATGGTAAATACAAATGAAGAAGTTAGTGTGAGTGAGTGCAAAGTTACAATTCACTATTTTACGGGGTTAGAAACTGCTTTGGTATATTTGATCCAGCAATGTTGAAGCGTTTATATTTCAGTCGTTATATTTAAAACTTTGACGATGATATTAAGCTTCGCATTTGATTTCTGGGGGATGTATTTGTATGCAATGAACCGAATGAGACTGTCGCGTTAGATTAATACTGCCTGGTGATTTTCAGTGTTCGTAGTCTGTTGGAGCCCTTACATAGTATTCGATCTGTTGCAAGTCTATGGTCACATTCCAAAAACGCAGACGAACATCGCCATAGCAACCCTCATACAGAGTTTAGCACCGCTAAATTCAGCCGCTAATCCCGTTATATACTGCCTTTTTTCCACGCACGTATGCGGGAACCTGAGGTGAGTGACGTTTGACTAATTCGACACGTCGATTTGCCTTTTGGCCTGCATGACATGACATTAATTTGCATACGAAAATTGTATGTACGTATTGTATTTTCTTTTCAAATTTACTTTTATAAAAATACAGTTCTGTTTTATAGAATGAAAGCTTTGGTTGTCTGATACTGCGCATTTGTAGTAGAAATATGCGCTGTTAAATTAAACATGTTTAATTGTCAAGTAACAGTTAAGTTTGTTAAAAAAAATAGTAGTATCATAAAATGGGCTTTCATGAAAAACTTCTTGCAGTTTGCAGTGCAACCTTCTATAATAATCTGCTTTCTCTGTTATTTTCAATAACTTATACAGAGTGTGCCAATTAACACTCCCGTTGTCAATATCTCCGAAATGAAGAAATTTATTTTAGGTTCGGAGCAAGTACATAGCTGTTGATGGGCAATTTTGGAAGAAAAATGGGACCTACTCTATTTTCATCCAATTAATTTATTTGCAAACATGCGTTACAAATTATATACAGGGTGTGCCATTTTAACACTCCCGCTGCCAATATCTCCGAAAAGAAGAAACTTATTTTAGTTCTGGAAATTGGAGTTGTTAGGTCCCTCGAATAGCTTCAAATTGTAGTTAGAACTATTAGTTCAAATCTTTCTGTATAGATGGCGTGGCAATAATAAAAAAATTTTTGTTCCCTCGTAGAAATACAGTCCATCTGAAAGATCGTAAAATTTGGAGTAATTTTTGCAATGTAAAGTTTTTCCCTATATTTACTTGTTTCCGTGATATGTCGACTTCAATATGCAATGTGTGATATAACAGGGAAATCTATTATTTTATTTAAATCGCACTGAGACGAAATATTCTTTTAAAATATGTTATAATGGTTTTATTCACATCAAATACTAACAAACAATAAATTATAAAAAAAAAACGAATAATCAACTACAGAAAAAAATGTACAATGGTAAATCTTATAATGGGAATTTTATCAAATGTTATTAAAAAATACAATCATAGGTGGCTCATGTCATTTGTTTAAAATAAAACAACGACAGATGACATATATTAGTTATCCAATAATTACAGTTTTATCAGTTTGCGTCTTTTAATTTAACTATACTAGTTATACGATTTATCATTGTACAAGTTTTTTCTGTAGTTGATCCTTTGTTTGTTTATAATTTATTGTTTGTTAGTTAGTATGTGGTGTGTATTAGAAAAAACAACTGAATAATGGAAATCATTAAATTAAATAATTTTTTTGAATGAAACACCCTATATATTAGTGCATACTTAGCTTCGTTAAATTTTTCTCTTTTCAAAAATATATATAATATGTTACTGTTTGATTCAGGACGTTTTGACATATTTCAGTTTAAAACTGTTTTTGAAAAAACAGGAGGGAAATTTATGTCTGACAGATCGCAGTGGCTATGAACGAGGCACGCGGAACAAACAAATGACTTTGACAGAAGTTTATTTATAATCATTAATTTATTTCCTATAACAAACTATTTTAACAAAGAAATAATGTTTAGTGAGAACGAAAAATTTGAATTATAAAAATTCATATAAGAGCTAAAATTTTTGTATTAAAAACCTTTTTTGTAATTTCAATAATAAACTCACAATATGTTGTCAGATTATAGTGACTAATCCTGTACAGAAGTTGATGTATAAAAAAAGAACAGAAACAAAAAAGGTTATGCAGTCAAGAAAACTGAGACGTTTTTAAAAAGAAAAATTTTAATCCTTATTAATTTATTCTGTTTGATCTTTGATTTGGTCGCCTCAAAGAGTAAATTCTAGACGATTTTATAATATTGTGGGGTATGGAGCTCTTGGTATTTGTATCTATTATTGGGCTTTATTGTTTCATTTGTATAAAAAAAAAATTGAGATCATTTGGGGGGCGTTGATCGACCCCCATAGGCCCCTTTGGATCCGCGCCTGTCCAAAGAGAAGCTATATACTTTCTAAGAAATTAACGCATTTATAACCTTTTTTTAGATTTATATACCTATGCAGGGTGATTTCAAAGTTGGGACATTTTTTTTTATTCTTTTAGAAAGATAATTTTACCAAAACTCGCTTATAAAGTAACAGAGTTAATTCAAATTTAAGTATGGTCTTGACTATGGGGCGCCATTGACACGGAATCCAAGAGGAAGAACATTTAAAATATCAGTACATAATGTTCTGCTACCACAGCCTTTATAAATGATTATACGCCGTAGGCAACCAACACTGCACGATTGGCAGTAAAAGTCTCGAAATCTTAGCGGCGCCAGTTCTAATGATTCGTTTACAATGAACAATGACAAACCGTTGCGTCTACGCTTGAGATAACGCGGTCGCCGATTGGTTCGATAAAATGTCGTGAAAAGTTACTCCAATCAAAGTTAGCTTATTCTTGTAATTTTTTATTTTTCCAAAATTTAATAGGGTCGTTTCCCATATTATTGTTTTAATGATTTCGTTATTTTATTTCCAAACCTTTCTTGAACGATATCCTGTTGCTACTTCGCTTACAATGAAATTATCTTCAATGCGCATGCATAGTAATACTGATATAATTTTAGTTTATTAATTACTATAAAAGTCAATATTCTATTTTAAATATATAAATTCTATAATTCTATTAGTTTGTCACTTGGGGTCTGAAACTTCTTAAATAGGTATTTCTAATATTGCCAAAATATCGCGATATTTAAGGTCATGACAATGAAGCCATTTTTTTGGTACCTTATGTCCAAAGTATATAAGGTCGAAAATGGATCTAGTAAAAATATTGAATATTGAATATTCTTCATGAGAATGTGAACTATGGGTTTGCCTATTATTTGGCGTATGTGACGTCACTACTAAATAGGTCTATACAGAGAAGTTATCCCCTCTCTGCCTCTGTCGAATCAGTACCTACGTCATCATCTACTATTTCGAGGAATCCCAATGAAATATGAAAAACAAAATAAATAATTTTACTATTTATTGACTCTATTTTATAAATACCTTATGTTTGTATAACATTCTATATTGAATTTCTGGCGTTTTAGACAGTAAGACAATGTTAGAATAAGTAGATCCATCTAGAAAGTGACGAAGCGTCATGCTAAACTAAAGAAGATTCCTTTAATTTTTCGCATTGAAAGATCAAGGAGAACATGTAAACATCAGAAATTGTACCTTTTCCTTTTTGTCCAGTAAATTTGTAAATATATTCAATAATTGTGATTAATGCATGTGTTAATAGTTTGTTAAAAGCATCCTACGGGGTGCGATTATGTTTATAGTACCTTACACGATTTTCTGTATGTTCAACAGTCGTAAAAATTTTTTTTTCCTTATTTTAAATGCATTTTCATTATCATTATACTCTGAAGAAAACTTATTTAACTGGTTTATTGTTTCTAACTTGCTTAGATATTCTAAAATGTTGGACAAAAATTGCGCATATAAACGAGGAAATAACCTTATTGCCAACGCGATTGAAATAAAATTACTGTTTAAAATAAAACTACAGGTCACACGGCGTTTAATCATTTGTAAAGGCTCTGTATCAAAGAAGATACATTTTAATTTGAGATTTTCTAATGTATAAAATATCAAGGATAATAAATATCTCTCTGGGCACAGTGTCCAGTTGCTATTGACAGAATTAAAGAAAATTGACAAGAGTTCACGTGTTAAATTTTCATTTCTGTCGCCACAGATTCAATTTCAATGAAGAAAATGTCATATTCAGCAGATAAATTCCCCCCTCTTTTGTACCACTAAACGCCGCCCATAATCCTGACATCTTGTTTCGATGGTTGTATCAGCGAGCATACTGTACCTGCTCTGTGGTTGTATTCACTACCCCGGCGGGTGCATGTGTAAATCTACTGTGGAGAGCTAGTCCGAGCTCTGAGAGTGTGTGTGAGAGTGAAATTTGGCCATATTATTTTCTGTTCAAGATCAACTTTGACAATTTAGCTTTGAAAAATAACATTTTTATGAATATGTCGAATGCAACCTATGTTTGTCCCTATAATCACAATTATACACTTTTTTCTGTAGATGCTGCTCATTTCTAAAACATTTAACCTTCGATCCATGCAGAAAAATCCCGCCCTTCACCTGGATCTCCAGCTGTCTGTCCGTGTGTTTTCCCGCCGTGGACGGCTCAACTTCCTGCTTCCTGTTCGGGTCTAGGGAGGCAGCGGGAACCGTCACCACCACTCTGACGCAGTCCTCCAGGAGGTCGGGTTCGGCCGCTTCCCTGAGGCACACCATCAGGCTGCAACCGGCGCTGCACAATAGCCATAAGGTCGCCATTTCCGTCGTCTAGTCAATATGTTTAGTGTACTTTTGTATATTTTGTATTTGTAGCTGTGGAAAAGGATGTGTAAGGAAAGTCGTTGGTGTCATTGAATTTCTGGGTTTACTGCTCGAATAAAATATAATGTAATGGGTACTTTCCATGGAAAACATTTAAAGTCAGTATAATAATTTGTACTTCATTACCAAATTGATAATTTGGTTTTCGAAGGTTTTCGAGTACCGAATTCTTCACAGTCCTTTTGATTAACATAATGATTTGATTATTAACTTCGGGGTGTACACTTCAGGTCACTTTTAATGATTCAATGCTTTAAGGAAACTATTTTAATTTTGTTGAACATGATTAACACTAAAATGTCCAAACAGAAGAATATTGATTGATTAACAGATAAACACACTTAACAAATTCACTGGAGCAATAGACCAAACAAGATAAATACCTACTGAATTGCAAAAATTAAAAAGTCAAAACATTTTCTATCACAATCTTTAATGTAACTTTCTAAAGCAAATAATTGTTTGTCAGTTACAATATTGATCTAATTAAATCATTTGCACTTATTTTTTCTTTACGGTTACACTATTTTATTATAAATTATGGTTCAATTTAAAAATTAAAACGTGTTTGTGTAATATGCGTTGTTAGACCACCAGTTAAAATTAAGATTGAAAGTCCTAGATGGCGACTCTCTTATAAAATCCCTGTCATTATTTATTTTGATATCTAGATGCTCTAGATATGGTTTTTTGTCTTTTCATCTGTTACAATTTGAAAATGACAAAACACATCCAGAGTATCTAGATGTTAATATGGAACTTGCTTGCTTAAGGGAGTCAGGGGACTAGTAATCTAATATTTGCCTTTCTAACTTCGATTGGTTGCTTGCTAAAAATAATTACAGATTACTACATCCAAACACAAAATCATTTCGATATTGCAGGGACCTCTTGTTAGTCAATAGATGACCTTTACCAAAATGACGATAGATGTCGCTACCCCATACAAGAGCAATTGAAATTTTGTTCTTAAAAAATCATTTACAATTTAATATTCGTCTTGTTTAGTTCATTGTTCAGTGTTTTTATTTTTTAATAAATTCATATTCAAATAATCCTGTCCTGCAATTTTGGCTTGAACTGTGCATCAAACACAATTACCAGAATGACCACTCTTTGACTAAAGTGACCGGTCACATTCGAAAATGACCATCAATTATTTAAAATTACCAATTGTTTCCTATATTTCAATAATTCCATTAAAATTTTGTATTGTTTCAAAAATTATTCTTCATTCTTAAATATGATCGGATATCTTTTTTTGGAGTTATTTCAATTTTTCAAATAATGGACGAAGAAAAAATGTGCAACAGACGTAACTAAAAACCAGGTCAAAGAAATATCATTTTTGAAATTTCAAAATGACTGACAAATGATCAAAGGCGATCAATCCAATTTTTAAGTGACCGGTTCTCTAGCTATCGCTAATAATTTCCTAAAAAACTTGAATCTTTTTAAGTGATCTGAAGATGGTTGTATAATATAGATCCTGAAACTAGTAGTCAAATAATTGTCTGTCAGTAAAATGGATTGTGAAAAGAGACTCCTTTTTGCAAATCGATTTTGAATTTAATTTATTAATAAATTTAATGCCCTCTTTTGAAGACTGGTACGTTGCTATACAGAGTGAATCTTAAATGACTACATATATTTCTACCAGAGCAACAGCTAACTACGTAGTACATCTACTTAACAGTTTTTTACTCAAACATTTAAAATAAATATTCATGATTATCTTTTATAGATAACTTGTTGAGAACCGCTGGCTTCTTTGTTACGCGTGACATAATTATTCTGTTTTGATTGGGAGATCAATTATGCAGTGCTGCCGGTTTACACAGAATTGTTAAACTATGACTTATGAAATAGGAAGAAAAAGGTAGCATTTTTAGACGATATGTCAAGGAAATTTTGAAACATCTTCACAAACATGTTTTAGGTAATATTATTTGTATCCTGTTATTCATGTCTAGCTTATAAACCCAATGCTTAATAATTCTCTTGACATACGACTTGACAAATGCCAATGCATAAATGTTTAGTTTCCATTTGGGCAGCGGTTCTCAAACTGTACATAAAATTGGATCACAGGACTCCTTTACATCGCACATTTAAAATTCACCCTGTATAAGTATTTTTAAAAATAAAACAAGTATTAAAATTGACAAGTACTAATATATTTGTATTAATATTTTCAATACGATATAAAAATGCCATTATCTTCATGTCCGTTTCAAAGATATTACCATTGTATGTATTCATGTGCATGTTTTTGTTCTTATTGTACTCACTAATAATTGAAAAACTGAATTTTGGTAATAACAAAATTATTATAAACTGAATGAGTGACTGTTATCTTTGTATTGAAAATGAAAACTATGTAAAGCTATAAATGTTTTTATAACAATAAATGTAGAAATGTTTATTTTAATTGTACTATTTGTTGCCTAAACGTGATATACTTTTTGTAAATATTGTATCGATTTCTGTGTTTGTTTTTTCTCGAATATACAGAAACTGAAAACTTTCTATTGTAACAAGTTTTTCTAAAATGCTCAAAGAAATATATTTTTTATGTATAAGTATTTGTTATTAATATATAGGAAATTAAATAAAGTCATACGAAAATAAATATCTTGTTTTTTGTCTTGAGAATGCTAACAAAAAACTTACGAAATTGTTCAGTCAATAATGTTCATAATTCTTGAAAATCTATAATGTTGTATGCAACTAGAAATACACATGAAGGTAAAACTGAATATAACTGGTTGCGTAATACATAGCAGTCGAAAAGTGCTTTAAATAATTTGAGAAAGGAATATAGAATTTTCAAAAAAATTCATAGATATATACTATATATTCCTTCAAGTAGTACATATTTTTTTAAATCATCAAAGTTTGCGTTTAATGTCGATCATAATACATAGAACAGTACTTTTCATCGTCTATATTTAGACAACATTATTTTCAATGCGGCGTATATCGTGTTGCATAACTTAAGAGTAATTTTTAACGATTTTAAAATTAATTTCATCTAATGTTGCAATCCTTATTTATTTATTTGCAATCCAGTCTTTTCTCTTCAATTTACCTAATATTATAATAATTACTTAGACTTGTTAAATTTGATTCTAAAATAAATAAAAATCGTGATTAAAAAAATAATGTTTATTAGTAAACTGTATAGTAAGTAACAAACTATATCCTCAGTCATGAATCCTATGCCTGCAGGTGCATGTAGCCTTACAAAAAGAAAATCTGTGTCTTCCTCCCAAGGTGTGATTGCTGTGGCACAACCAGTGGGGATGTGCCTTGTAGAGCTTTTCGCAGTTTGACCACATATTAACGTACGGACAGGCATTGAGACACAATCTGTTTCTGCAGTACCGTTTGCATTGCCCACAAGGTTTTCCCGTTTTGTACGGATGGTCTAACTTCCCAGGATGATTTCCACTAGAGAAAAAAATAACATATATGCCTTAAAAAGAATATCATCAATTATCTCTAAACTTTTCATGTATCGAAGATGCTTGAGGTAATTGGAAACATTCAGTATAACGCCGTCAATCAAACGCTACAATTTTTTAATTAAATTGTTTTGTCACAAGCGTCTCGTGCAACATGAATAGGGTACCATGACTGGTGTATTGTCTAATAAGAAATTTTCAATACATTTCACTTACAGCTTTTCATTTATAATATTTACTGAAGTATTTAGCAACACAGGATTCTCATTTGTCTAGCTAATCTTAGTAAACATGAAGTATGCATGAAACATTTAAATTACCTAAATTCTAGTTAATTGAAACATATCTTTCTTAATTTCTGTAACGTTTCAACACAACCGAAACATTTCTGAAATATTAATCTTAATAAATTATTACCGAAATAATTTTTTCAAATGTTTCAGAAATGTTTGTAACAATTACAAATCATTTCCTACATTTTTCGAAACGTTTGTAATTGATAATAATTGAATGATATTTTTATGATGATATTTCAGAAGGGTTTTTAGTGGAGTGCCCACCACTGAACTACGTTTATGATGTATTTTTCTAGGCAATCTATCATTTTTTGCTTTAATAGATTCCTCGAAATTTCTCGAATATGCAAACAAATTTCCCGAATCGTTTGAATAAACATTCACTATGTTTTTAAAATATTTTGTTAAAAGTGGAGGCAAACGAAAAGCTGGCGGCGTTGTTTTATATGTAAATAGATAAGTTGGCTGGCTGCATTATGAAAATTTGTTTTTATATTTTTTCATATTTTTTAATATTCATAAACCAAATTGGAACTATTTTGTTAATTATTAGATAAATATATCACTTTGTTTTTTTTTTCACTTTCTTAATTTTATTGTAAATACAATTTTTAAAGTTCTGATATTATTCTTAATAATATATTTTTTTTGTAGTAGGGCTATTGGCGAAGATCTCCATAATAAAAAAAGACGTGCAATTTTATTCATATTTATTATTTGAGAGCGGATTAATAAAATATCCAAATAGTTGCGTATAATTTTTTATAAAATCTAAATGAACATCACGACTCCACATCAAGAAGACTCTCCAGTGAACGCTCGCCTCGACAACATATCTTTTTCTCTACACTTAGTTTTCAATAAAAATACTTTTATTTACTATTGAGAAAGAGTTTTATTTTGCTGCACACCGAAAGCAACCCTCAAGTGGTTACCCCGACGTGATAATATTGTAAATGCAACTAAAAATTTCCAGATACATTTAGTCGTTTGACTTTGACAATTTAAAATTTTTTTCCTTTTTGCCCACCTAGTAAAAAAGCCACGAGTCTCCCCTGTTCAAAAACTAATGATATTGGTAGCCTTATTTTTATTCAGTTTGTTGTCAATAGTGGGAAATTAGAGGCCAAATTTCAAAGAAAAACACCAAATTTTCTCAATTGTCGACGTTTCGTCACTTATCGTGACATCCTCAGGACACTATAAAATTTAATAATTTCAAAATTACATCACAATTTATAAATTACAAACTTAACATTAAAATATTAAAAAGTGTGTCTAAAACATTACAATAAAATGAATACAGCAATATCTATATAAACATGAAAAAAAAAATTACAAATACAGACACACTAACAATTTTTATATGTCACAAATTTAAAAACAAAAGTATTAAAATTACATAAACAAAATGTTTTTATATAATAAATAATAAAATAACAAAATATGGTGAATGAACAAGAAACGCAACAAACAACAACCTGTACATAACATGCGAAAAAGAAAATTTTAAATTAAAATTAAATCTACGTATATTGTTTATATGTTACTCACATTACAGATTTAAGTGCTTCACTGTGTTTTCCTAGTCTCGTTATACATAGTATGTCATATAACAATCTTACTATGTACAACGTATGACATACATGTATGACGTATGACGTATGACATACTATATATAACGAGACTAGGAAAACACAGTGAAGCACTTAAATCTGTAATGTGAGTAACATATAAACAATATACGTAGATTTAATTTTAATTTAAATTTTTCTTTTTCGCATGTTATGTACAGGTTGTTGTTTGTTGCGTTTCTTGTTCATTCACCATATTTTGTTATTTTATTATTTATTATATAAAAACATTTTGTTTGTGTAATTTTAATACTTTTCTTTTTAAATTTGTGACATATCAAAATTGTTAGTGTGTCTGTATTTGTAATTTTTTATTTTTTTTCATGTTTATATAGATATTGCTGTATTCATTTTATTGTAATGTTTTAGACACACTTTTTTAATATTTTAATGTTAAGTTTGTTATTTATAAATTGTGATGTAATTTTGAAATTATTAAATTTTATAGTGTCCTGAGGATGTCACGATAAGTGACGAAACGTCGATAATTGACAAAATTTGGTGTTTTTCTTTGAAATTTGGCCTCTAATTTCCCACTATTGACAACGAACTGAACAAATAAAGGATGTTTATTAAGTACTTGACGAACTTTAAAGAGTGAATCTTTGACTAATTTTAAGATAAAAAGTAAAAGACATGGGTCTGCTACGGCTGGGTTCATGGGTTACAAGGCGTCTAAAAAAAATTGTTTATTATTTTGATTATATTTTTGATCAATAACATAGCAATTCGGGAAACTAGGAGTATTGATGATGAGAAACTCAAATATTTACTTAGCTTTTTTGTTTAATGTTAGGGGGCGCCACGTACAGTGTTGTATCTGTATTTAAATATCCATAACTTTTTTATGTCGCGCTGTATGTCATTTTTGACTAAACATATCTATTCTTCATTCAATTTTACGTACAAAAGTAGTATTTGTCACTGAAAGCATCCGTTTTGTAAAAAAACCTGCGTTGAAACGTTGTTAAGTTTATTAAGAGTTTTTTGAAAAACAAGTGAAAGAGAGTCATGTGCTATGTTACACTATCACTTTACAAATTACTATCACCAAATTAGTGAAAATTAGAAAAAAATAAAAATTCCCAAAAACAAAAATATAATCAAAATAACAAACACCCTGTATTTCGATAACCAAATCGTTAAGGACCCATGTTCATATGTACTTTTTATCTTAAAATTAGTCAAAGATTCACCCTTTAAAGTTTGTATAAGTACTTAATAAGGACATACTGAAAAAAAACATAATGCAAATTTAAAAATGCCGCCATTTTATCAGTTCATCGCACCGTCTGTTCACTGTTCTTTTCTTTCTCTTTGATTTTAGTGGTATTTTCCAGTAATGTCGGTTTGTGTGCCTCACAGTTACTGTGGTACTGTGAGTAATGTTTAGTGACATAATCAAAGTTCATGATTAACTGGCACTGATTCAACTTTATAAATTAGATATTATTTACTAAAACTGTCTCTGGAATAATTAGCTATTAATAATATTTCCGAAACATTGTTTTGAAAATATTTCTGATATGTTAGTTATATGTATGTAGATACCCATCTCTGAAAATATTTAAGACATACTAGAAATGTTTCTAAACTGTTTCAGGTGAGAAATACAATAGTGTAAATATTTTACTTTACAAAAATCAACTGGTATTAAATAATTTGCTCAATAGATGACTTACGCTGGACAATAATTGCATACATAATTGTAAAACAATCTTCCAATGGTAGAATTTCCCACATACTGATAACATTTAGAAATCCCACACCCAATTTCATGTGAGGCAGCCCAAACCATCTGCGTGTAGTGACCGATGATTGTCGAATTATTCACGGGTTCTCCAAACGTGAATTCATCTTTTTCCAACCACCACGTTTTCACAGCAAACAACCTGAAACAAAGACACATGGTAACAAAGACGGTTGTACAAGAAGGAAGAACATTGCTCACCAGGGAACTTTATGCGTGGCTATGAAAATGTTCTGTCCACATGAACCATAGTTGTCGATGTACCTGCCTTCCAATCCGTCATGGACCAAGGCTTGGCATTCGTCTGCCCAGTTTTGGGCAGCATTTGCTGCACCATTATGCCATTTCTGGAAGGTATTATATTTAGGTAGAGCGCGAGTTTAATTAGAAATTATAATAAAGACTAATCTAGTTTCATTTTCATTATTACATTTGGTTATTGACGCACCATCCTCAGCATGTTGGATGCAGCGGGTTTCACTCTACTCCTGAAGAAGTTGTGGTAAAGCAAAATCTTCTGTTGCACTTTTTTTCTGTTAGGACTCAACTGTTTCAGAGATATTACGTCTCCCATGATTTTCGGCCCTAAAAAAAGACATTTGCAAGAGACAATTTTAAAAAATTATACACAGAATACATAGTACTTAATATATTGACCCACAAGACTAACGAAAGCATAATATTATTTGCAAACACGTTTTTACTTACTTCTGTATGGTTTCCAGTTTCTATATTCGGTGCTAGTGTTGATAATTATTAATAATATCAAAGGTAAAAAAAATTTCAGCGTCATCGTTATGGTATTTGTTACCTAAAAAAATAATTAATTTGTACAAGATATTGTTCGAAGCTGCAACAATTTTTGTTCTAATGTACTAGCAGATAAAGTAATCATAATAGTAAGAGTTTCAAAGAATAATTTATTAGTGCCATACAGTCTGCCGAATCGCTTGAGCAGAGCTTATAAATAATTCAAAGTCTCCAGATGAACAGACAAACCGGTAATTAGGTTTGCAATAATTATGGAACATTGACATTTATTAGATCTGGGTAGACTGTTACACTTAAACATATGTGGCATAGTATACAACGTAATGTTATACTGTATAATGTAATAAATATGCAAAAAATATTGGATCGCTTCTAGCACTCGTAACAATGTAAGAGAAAATTAACTGAAACATAAATAAATTAAAAAATTGAAGCTACAAAGTAGCTTGAAATCTGTGAAAAAATAATAAAATCGTAATTGTGTCTTATTTTTTTAGCTAAAATATTGCACATTATAATTACAGACATATTTTGGGAATAAATATTGTTTTCATAAAAATATTCCAAAGATTTGATCACTTCTAGATCCGATTTCAACTCTCTGAACTAGTACAGTCATTGAAGCTGAAAATGCTGTAGCCTCCGAATTCTTTGAAACTGCATGGATTTGCATGAAAATTTAGAATAAAGCTCATCTTAGGCTGAAGTTCAAAAGTGACATAAGCCCAATTAACGCGTTTTGTTTTTTAAGGGTAAAAACTACTCCTAAGTGAAACAAATTGAAAAAATTAAGTTTTAAGCATTTTATTGATAAAAATCTTGTTCAAGCACAAAAATTACTAAATAATGTTCCATGTTCTCGAACATGTTTTATGATATACTTGATCTTTTCGACCCTTTATTTAACCCTTAAAAACTACCGCTATGCAAAAAACAATGTAAAAAATTACTTTTTAAAGATTTGGAATGATTAAATAGTGCAATTATTTAAAATAAAAGTTACCTTATAGCTAATAAAAGGATTTTTCCCTTTCAACCCCTAAAAACCACCCCTGTATTGACAAAAATGATCAAAAATTACTTTTTAAAAGCTTGGAATGCTTTAACGGTGCAATTATTTAAAATAAAAATTCCCTCATAACACTTTTTAACACCTATAAGTCACCTCTGTGCTAAAAAAATGATAAAAAATTACGTTTTAAATCTTGGAATGCAGTAATTTAAAAATGTCACTTTACCATAACTCGGTTAATTTTGAAGCTATAGTATCCTACAAAAAAGCATTTTAAAGATAATTTCAAAAGCTGTAAGATCGTTTGCATATAAAACCTTTTAAGTCCTTCGTTTTTNTCACACTAAATTTTTTTACTTATTTTATTTGTATAATATAATATATAATATATAAAAATGAGAAAGCCTATTTTGCTCCGAAAAAATATCATTGGTTTTTTTTACCATAACTCGGTTAATTGAAGCTATAGTATCCTACAAAAAAGTATTTTAAAGATAATTTCAAGAGCTGTAAGATCGTTTGCATATAAAACCTTTTAAGTCCTTCGTTTTTTTAAGTGAAATGATCGAAGGGCTCGAGACAGGTCGTTTTTTTCACTAAAATGGATACTTCAAGCGGCGATATCTCCTTTATTTTTTATGCTATAGGAATAAAAAAAGCAAAATATTTGTTGAAAAAAGCTACATTTTTTGCGAATATTTCATTATTTCAGAGTTATTATATAAACAAAGCAGTTTTCAAATTTTACCGTACATTATTCAAAAAATACGCATTCTAAACCGGTCTAACTTGTTCAATTTTGCTCTAATTAACTTTTATAAATGCTCACTTCGAAGGTCTTTTTGAGTACTACAAAAAACTCCTGGAGCGTTATACACGTAAAATTAATCATTTTTCCGTTATTGCGTTGAATAGATCGATTCGAGTATTCCCCCCAAAACAAGTCCCCTTCCACTAACCACATTTCGCTTTGTATAGGACCTACAACACTTTAAAAAAAACGATTGTTTTTGTTTATTTATAAGCTAAATTTTTGTTCATTACACTTTTTTTTTAATAAAATGCGTAGTTTTTGTTATTCGCGAAAAATACTTCGAAAAAGTGTTTTTTCACTCAAAATTCCAAGTTTTCAATCGTGAATAACTAAAAAACTATTGATTTCTCGAAAAAATTCTTCGAATATTTTTTGCTCAAAATTTGATCTATCGATTTCTAGAATTATTAAAAAAAATAAATTCCACCCCCGAGGAGGGGTGTCAACTCCCAACAGGGTGGAAGCGTCAATCGGCGCTATGTCACTAATGTTCATTGATCTTTTCTCTAACTATCTGCCAAACTTCAAGTCGATCGGTTCAGTTTCAAAGAATTCGGAGGTGAAAACTTCAATGAATCTTCTCAAAGATCAAATTCAAATTGGTCACCACAAAGTATTTTAAGATAATTTTCTTTAAATCACTTTAATTATTTTTTATTCTTATAAATTTAAATGTGACATAGGCTTATTGTAAATATTATGAACATGTTTGTTTGCAAAATACTTTAGCTAAAAATAAACAATAAAAAATCAGAACTATTATTAAAGTAGATTAAGCTTTGTATGTATTAAATTGATGATTCATACAGACGATATTTTCAATGAGCTGGTCGTCATGGTTTATTGAAATTAATGCTTATTAAGAATTGCCACAACTAGAATAAATTTAATGTACGCAAATGTTAAATGAACTGAAAAACAATCTTTTAGACAGAATTCTGAAAAATTAAAATATTTATTCCTAAAAAAAAATCATCTATTGTTTTATTCAATTTCGAGAGTAAAAAACTCTTTTCACGGAGTTGTTAGATATAATAATTTATATTCGTTTTGTTGAAATAAAAATAAGTTTCAAATTTATTTACATTTAAGAAGAAAGTAACTACTTTTTTTTAATATTCCATCTGTAAATTATTATTAACAGGGATAGACATTACAAGTCACTTACGATGTTTTGGACCAAACCCAGACAGACGATGCTCACACTTGCACCCACTCGCGATGGTCTGAACCATATGAATCTGGGGTATTGGATGAAAATGCGATATTTTCAGACACAACACTTATCGTCCTTACTCAATCGAAGGTCTTTTATATTTATATTAATTTACCATCCAGCTATTCATTCAATTTAAATCCCAGTAAGACTGCATTGTCGCTAGTTACTTTTTGCATTTTTTGCATTTACCAATGAATTTCTGCCAATTCAACATCAGTTCTAGGAAGCATTGTGCAACTGCAAGCTCTTTTTTGTTATCAGTTCTAGGTATACTTTAGTAATTCTTTCATTTAATACCTTAATACTTAAATATAAAGAAATATAAACATTACACATCTGTCTAGTATAAAATATTAAAATATAAGTCAAATAAGACAAAACATAATTCCGTATAGTTTTTATTTTACGTAAAAATTAAAAATTAACAAGATCCAGCTCCCTATCCATTCGTAGAGTGACAGTCAGGTTTTCCTGGTCTTTGTACCACTGAGCATTGCCCCTTTTGGGGTCGACAGGATGGGGAAGGGGTAAATCTAGGTAGAATCTTGGAGAGATTAAGGTAAGTCTGTCTTTTACTATCTTCAGGTCAATGTTCTGATGTTTTTCTTCAGGTAGGTGGATGGTGATGATCATGTCTTCGCAACTCGCAGTCGTAGGGCTCTTAAAACCCATCTAGAAAAATGTAGATTCTCTTGTAGTGGTGAATTAGTATGGAGACAAGTTTGAATGAATACCTGTAAGAAAACATCTTCAGCTGTTACTTGTTGCTTATATTTAACATCCCAGACTGGAGCCTTTTTCCAGTCCCTTGTGGTGTGATCATCTTCGAACGCAAAATCGGGGTCCTCTGGGTCTAAAATTTCTCTTCTCTTTCCTTTTTCCTCTATTTTGCTGTACGGATTGATATTCTTTTCCTCACCCGACAGCGAAGGTTTTGCGAGATGACTTGCTGGAAGTAGGAAGTGTTATTTGTTTAACATTTCCCACACAGTCGAGAAAGAATGGTACATTAAAGAGCTACATCGTGATAATGTTTTCTGTGAAACAGTTAAAACTTACGATTTAAGGTACTAGGTCCAGATTGGTTTGTTTCTACTTCATCTTCAGAATCAGAATTGTCAGTTTTTGGGTTGAATAGTTGGACGAGCTTTTGAATTTCTCCAAATTCTGATGCCATACTCGTCTGCTTGACAATGCAGACGTATCGATCAAACAGTTTAACATTTCGTAGCTATGGTGACTGTTACCTTAGGAAATTATTATAGTACAGGGTGTCACAAACTTGATAGTATGGGTGTGAGGATACAAAAAATTTAAATAAAATTTGGGACATGTGGTGTTAAATGGGATGAGGTAAGCTCCACTTTCATTCCAAAGTATTATCTTTGGTATTTGACAGGAACGACTAATGACGCCATCAATGATATTTTTTCCAGAAACATACTTAAATATTTTTCCTGTTAAAAAGCTCTCTTTCTTCTAATAACTTTTATTAGAGATTTTTTTCTGTATTACTTTCCGTTTAAATGTTATAAGCAATATCGTACTAAAGAGTCTCAAAGGAAATACCACATAAAAATCATATTAGCGGTAGTGGTTGGAAAATAATTGGAATGTTCGTTGTTTAAAATGGACAAATGTCCTTAAGATTAAATAAATGGATTAAACTCGATAATTCTTTAATACAGTTAAAACAAAAGGTAATGACAACAATAACTAAACTTAAAAAATGAGGCAAACGCTTTCATACTATATACATATTACAATCTATTCTCTATACAAGGTGTCTCATAATTAGCTGTCAACCCTGAACAGGCCGATTCTATGATCAAAACTAAGTAAAAAAGTTCATATGAACTAGTACTCTCGTTCTGCCGCGCAGCATTACCATCGCAAAAGCCATAAACAAATCATCATATCATAATTGTTCTACATCAATAATGTGTATTACTGATTACGTATTAAATTATTATTATTATTATTTGTTTAAAAATTGACCAAAGTGGGATTAATTCAAGAGCGATTTTCTCAGAAACCGTTAAAGATAACGATTTGAAACAAGAGTACCTTTTTAACGTAAAACAGTTCGGGAAAACGGAATTTGCTGTCCAATTTGTTAAAAAGTCAAAGATGAAAAAGTTACACACGCAAAGTACCAAGGGCCCCCCCGTACCCACCCCAATGGACCTTGTGGAAATAAATGGATTAGTCCATCAAATTGCTCATCAAAATTTAGCTGTGTATACCAAATTTCATTCATTTATCACAACGTGATTGAGAGATATTGCAAAAAAATGATTTCCATTCCTTCCTCTTCAATAGGTCCCTGTGCCCTTAGGAAGCATTTCCGGACCCATGTTCATATGAACTTTTTTACTTAGTTTTGATCATAGAATCGGCCTGTTCAGGGTTGGCAGCTAATTATGAGACACCCTGTATAACCTCTCATTTCAAGACACATATCTAATCTTTGCCTGACTTCTTTGTGGGCTTTGTTTATTAACATTTCGCCGTTTAATTCATTACAAGCGTTTGTGATTTTTTCTTTCAAATGATATTAATCTCGCGATGGTGTTTTGTAAACCTTTTTTCAATAGGCCTATACTATCGAGTTTGAGACACCAGGGTACAAATATTTAAGGTTAGAGATATTGGCTTTTAAATACATAAAACATTACAATTAATGTGAAACGATTAGTCGGAAAGCATGCACAACTCACCACAAGCAAATTATTGTTTAATAAAAACGAAAAGAATTAGGTGAAAGATTTTCCGAATTACTGTCACATTTTTGCAAGAAAACAATAAACTAACCATAAATCTGAAAAATGACAACTGTAGCTCGATCACTCTAAGGATCATTGAAATTAATCCAAAGATTTTGTTAAAAAAAAAGATTGAAATATTGCGGTTGTTTCAGTATGCCCCTATTTGTATCTCTGGTGCTGAACTTAATTTTTGTCGAAACGGGAATAAATCTAAAAAATCCTAACTTGGCTAAGCAGCGTTTAAAGTCAAAATAAAATCATAACTGTCTAGAGGAGTTAAGGAGGCACCAATCGCAACAAGACAATTGATAGTATGCTTCTTAAGAAAATTACATTTTTATGTGTCTGTCTTTGAAGGTAACACCATATGTACATTATACTGATTTAAAAATGCCTTTTTCTTGGTTTGGTTGAAATTCCAAAGAAGAGGCCACTAAATGTACACCCTGTATAAAGTAATGCTATCATTTCCAAACTGTTACATCAAAATGTGCTTTCCGTTACATCTTGTTATTCCGCCTAGATGAGTAGGCAACGGCATATAAAATGTATGCTATATTTCACTTATCTGTTTATATTTAGTGTACAAAAACCGCTACATTTACGAATTAGTTCTCTTTATACATAGAATTAAAAAATAAGAAAAAAGTGACTAACTATTCAACTATTTTTCTTTGGTGTCATAAAACATCTTCGTCGTATCTTTACGAAAAGACCTTTGACCTGTAATTCACCAGATCAATTCCAATGCATTGCTGAAAAACAGGAAATTCCACAACTGTTTCCGTTATAGAGAACCGTCCAAATTCAGCATTACATCCTAACCCCACACTACAAATCTATGCATTTGCGTAAGAATTACAGAAAAAAAGACACGTACCGAAACCGACGCATTCAACTTCAGTTTCAATATTTTCCTTTTTTAAGCATACTTCCATCGAATAGTAAGCTAACGTGACGAGAACAGAATAAGAAGTAGCCAAGCGTGATGTCATGCTGTCTTGGGTCGTTCTCAACAGAATCACAATTACTATCCTCAGGCTCTTCGAGGCTAAAATTCTTAGTTTAGTTTAAAACATACATTTAAATCAAACACAAGTCGATTTATGCAGGCATTGTTGATACCCATGACACTCAATCAACATGATTTATTATTATTACCATAATTACTTCTTCAGAACGAATGGGAATGTGTGAAATTAAGTGATTTTGTATTTAAATTAAGTGCTCCTGTGATAGTGTGATGTTCTTAGCGATGTCTACGCCTCCAAGGAAACCGAAGAGGCTGTGTGATAGGGTGGTGAAGTTTCCCAAAATTTTGGAATGTGATACTCACATCGAGATGGACTCTCTAGAGGAGTGCCAGATTTCCGAAGAACTCAAAGTGAGTTTATGGGGCAATTTAGTAAATAAATATTAGCCTTAATCAGTTTGTGCAGAATTTAACCGGTGGGGTGCCCCAGGGTACTGAGCTAAACCCATTACATTAATGAATGATTTTGTCAGCAATATTTTCGACTCTCTTTTAGACCTTTCAGAGTAATTTACCAATAAAGTCATTAGAAAAAAGTGTAATATGATCTAATCTAATCTATAGTTCTAAAAATATTTAGGATTAAACTAATAATAGGACCTGTTGAAATTTCCTTTTTTTTTGCTAATTGTGCAATTCTTTCAGCATCTCCCTTTGCAATTACTTTTGAATTGCCTCTTCAAACATTAACTTTTCCTTGTATTTGGACTAAAATCAAATCCATATTCAAGAAAGATGAAATGTGACAAGTTATTGCGAAGTTATTCTGCATAACATTCTGTAGTTTCATGCTAAATCTCATGGAGATACAAAGCCCCAAAGAGGTAAACAGCGATTTACCAGCTCTAACTTTTGAATTCAATGAAATTTTATGAAATATTTTAATGTTTCACACTGTTAGGGAAGTCAGGAACGGACTTACCAGCCACTACACTCATTGGGTCAGTATTTTGACAGGTGTCAGAGCTGAAAACTGAATTGTTAAATACTTTGGTCATTCCTCTTTAAAAAAGGGATTTGATTCGAAAAAATTAGGTTTTTGTATAACACGTCATTGAAAAAAGAATACTGCAATAAAACATCAGTCATTTTTATGTCGTTATAGTCCGGTCAAATTAGTCATAAAAATAGTGATCAAATAACAAAAATTCCGACAGAGCTAAATTTTGGTGGAAACTTTAGGTACACCATTAGAAATAAAGTGTCAAAAGTCCCCAACGATCCCATGTCTGATAAAAAAGTTATTCGAGGTCAAAGGTCAAAATTTGAGGCTTTTTGGATTTTTTCGAAAACGGTAAGTTTTATTAAAAAAGTAGTTCAGACAAAAATTATAGATCTTAAAATTATCTGCAAAAATGGTCCTTATACCTTTTTTTCTAAGGATCACCATTCCTGAGATATGGCGATTCTAAAAGCTGAATGAGTCACGTTCTACGTGATATATGCTACGTATATAGTCTTAGTCAGGCACTTAATACAAATAAAAATGCCTATTTGTGTCTCTTATATGTATAAACTATACTATTCTGAGAATATGCAAACAAAAGAAACTCAGTCCCTTAGTCAAAATGACGCAGATATCTTTATAATTGAAACAGCAATAGAANAGCTGAAAACTGAATTGTTAAATACTTTGGTCATTCCTCTTTAAAAAGGAGATTTGATTAAAAAAAAATAGGTTTTTGTATAACACGTCATTGAAAAAAGAATACTGCAATAAAACATCAGTCATTTTTATGTCGTTATAGTCCGGTCAAATTAGTCATAAAAATAGTGATCAAATAACAAAAATTCCGACAGAGCTAAATTTTGGTGGAGACTTTAGGTACACCATTAGAAATAAAGTGTCAAAAGTCCCCAACGATCCCATGTCTGATAAAAAAGTTATTCGGGGTCAAAGGTCAAAATTTGAGGCTTTTTGGATTTTTTTCGAAAACGGTAAGTTTTATTAAAAAAGTAGTTCAGACAAAAATTATAGATCTTAAAATTATCTGCAAAAATGGTCCTTATACTTTTTTTTCTAAGGATCACCATTCCTGAGATATGGCGATTCTAAAAGCTGAATGAGTCACGTTCTACATGATATATGCCACGTATATACATAGTCTTAGTCAGGCACTTAATACAAGTAAAAATGCCTATTTGTGTCTCTTATATGTATAAACTATACTACCTATTCTGAGAATATGCACACAAAAGAAATTCAGTGCCTTAGTCAAAATGACGCAGATATCCTTATAATTGAAACAGCAATAGAACAATTTAATGCAACAAATACAACTATTGTAGTTGGTGAATATGTTGACTTATTATACTCACTGCAAGGACTCCAACTGATAAAATTATATACTTTCTAAAACCTGGAAAGGCTCAACAGCGAACAGAAATATATTATTCAAAAAGTTTATCTGCTTATCCAAAATGCCAAAACCATATCTTATTTTTACATGCGACAACCGGCTGCGATACTACATCAGCAATATTCAGAAGGGTAAAACATCAGTATTATAATTATTTAAAAAAAAAAAAAGATTTGATAAAAAGTATAAGGAACATTTTGGTAGATAATTTTAAGATTTATAATTTTTGTCTGAACTACTTTTTCGATAAAACTTACCGTTCTCGAAAAAAATCCAAAAAAAAAACCCTCAAATTTTGACCTTTGACCCCGAATAACTTTTTTAGCACACATGGGATCGATGGGGACTTTTGACACTTTATTTCTAATGGTGTACCCAAGGTCTCCACCAAAATTTAGCTTTGTTGGAATTTTCGTTATTTGAAATGTCTATTTTGACCGGATTATTAATAATGTGTTATTGACAACACTCAAAATTGTCTGAATGATTGAGTACACAAGATTAAACAATGGAGCATTATTCCTATAACGAATATGCTGACGTGCATCTAATTTATGGACAAGCACTCGGCAATTGTTGAGGCAAGAAGAATTTATTCTGATATATTTCCAAATTGACGTTTACAGCACTGAAGAACTTAGCTTACCAGAAAGAGGTAAAAGGTCAAGTGAAATAAAAAATGGTAAAAGTAGCAGATTTTTTGCTGATCCATTTTGGGAAGACTGTAAGTTTAATGTTTCAGGACAGTAAATATGACTGTTCTAGATTCAATTTTTTTTTCTGTATTTTTTATAGCTTTGTGTTAATGGGAATTGCCCATCAGGCGAATGCATTTTTTAAAGCATATAAATAATAAAGTTTACTTTGGTTTTCATGCGCAGATAATGACAATTTAAAAAAAATATAATATTGATTTTACTTTCGATGCAAAGATTTATCACTTGTATTTTAGGAACCAACGGCAGTGTCAGATCTCGATCCCCAATCAGATACCAATTCCAATCCTCCATCGGTCAAACACCTGAACCTCAACGGCCTCTGCAAGAGCAAAGAAGAGTTGAACGAATGCTACGTGGAGGAAATCGTGCTTCCTGGCGATTCCATACAGTCTCTTTCAGAGTTGCAGATCCTCAGTCTTCGCTCCAATGGGATTCAGAACTTCCCGAACAGCGTTCTCCAGCTCACCACTCTAATCACCCTGGATTTGTCAGATAACAGCCTGCTGACGCTGCCCCCAGAGATAAACCAACTCAAACAGTAAGTTTTCTATGTGTTGAAAGCATACAGAGCGTTAATTCTATCGGCAAGTTTCTGCAAGCCGTCCCTTAGATAAAAAAATTCCGATTATTTACGAAGACTTAGCATCTTGAAGATAATTTTTTTAATGTCCTTTACACCACCTTTTCATTAATTAATTCTGAAGTAGCTCCATGAAGAACAAGTGTAATGTACGAAATTTCTTATGAATTATGTCCTACATGATAGTTTTCGAGATACGTGGTGATCAAAACTTTATCGAAAATAATTCTAAAAGCGTTGATTACAAAAAAAAAATAAGTTTGAAAGAGTCAGTGTCATGTCAAATGCGCTAAACATGGTAGTACTTCGTTTATATTTTGTTAAAAACACTGAAAAAAGTCGCGTTGATGTGTACGAAACAGTAAAAGTGACGAACTAAAGAGTTCAGATTCTCTTCTCCGTTCTTTTATTGTTCTATTTTGTTTTGAATGCCCCCGTACATCCCAGGAGAGAAAGTAATCCATCTTCACTACTAGAAAGCGTACAGGCGATAGGTATAAGTCAACGAAACACATAAAAGCCTCTCGTAGCGATCTATTCGATCCCTTTGAATGGTATTTACGACAAAGGGATGTTCGTCTGCATTGAGTCGAAGCCGATGATGCATTGCACTTGCGAAATCATAACATACGGCTACTCTCTCTCTGCTAGCAGCACCACAAACACAGAAATAAAACGTGATGAACGAACTTCCGTTGTTTCTTTCACGGTTCCTTGATCCCCGCATATGATTAAGGCACAGGCGGCTCTGCTAATAGCTGGCTCGTGTCCGCAGTGGCACAGTTACGGGCTGGCGGAGGAGGCGCGAGATTCTTCACAGAGACAGCCCAAATGCTTCGGGAGATATTAATGTGGACAGATACTCACAAGGGACGGTGTCTTCATAAGAAAAAAAAAAAAAATAGAAATCAATAAATTAATTTTATATCATAGAGTTCCAAACACTCTTTTGTTGGATGCATCCTATATGAAATGCATCGTTCAAATTTAAACGTAATAAATATCTCAATACTCAAAATAAATTGATTATTGAAAAGAAATATTTAGCAACTCGGTTTCTTAAATCTGTAGAAGACTCTTTCCTGTCAGATTCTGCGTTAAAGCTATTGGTTTATTTATTTATTTATTTCAAGCAAATAATCGATCGTGTAGTTATACGAAAATTAAATTAACAATTAACAATATTTACAATTAACCGTGTAATACGGAATGGTTACATCAACAAGTTAACTTTCCTGAAAGTGTTTACCAATCACTACCATCAACTTCTAAAGGCTATCTTTGTTTCGCCTTGGTAGACCTACAAAATCATTCGACGAGCATGAAAAAATAAAAAGGAGAAAACTTAAGACACTTTGTCGAGTCAATTTCCTTCGAAGGACTGTCTGTCTCCAGTTATTGAAATGAAAATGCTTGATAATGGAAAGAGAAACGCGGCCAAAATTGTCAAAGAATTCTCAGAAGCACCACAGTACCAGAACAAAAAAAGATTGAAAATTATTTGTATGACGAACAAAAACGTGTCCACTGATATATTTGGTATTACATGTTGAGTAGCGTACATACGATTTTATATTACGGCACATTTGTGCTTACTTCTTTTCTAATAGATCAGTTTTCAGAAGAAGCACAAGAGGCCTGAAATAATGACACAAGAACGTATCGAGAGCAGGTCACAATAAAACACCCACGTGTGAATACAATCATCAGATTAACAGGCCATTAATATCTTCAGATCCTTTATTAGTTAGCTTAATGTACCTCCCAAGAAGAAAGTCAGGACATGATTTCATTGCTGTCAAAAGGAATCACTGGCTTAGAAGTATGTGACGGAGATTCAGAAGGATCTGGATCAAAAGAATTTGATGAAGAAGTACAGAATTAAAATAATTTGTTTTTTTTTTAAATAAAGTTAAGTTTTACTGTCTGTCCCATTTCCATTTTCAATACATATTAGTGTTATTACATTATCTTTTTGTCTATTGATGTTTCAATCTACAATCCTCATCAGGTGAATAATATTTGTATTGTATTGCTTTTATATTGCATTCTGTAATTAAAGTCTACTTTCTCCAGTACAGGCCCGGATCCAGAGAATGATTTTGGGGGTGGCGCAAAGCACTTCTTTCAGAGGAGCTTGACACTAATGAATCCTTCTACTTGCATTAATATCGACTAACTGCCTGTTGTCGTTTGGAGAAATTGAAGATCTTTAAAAATTGTTGTGCTTTGGGGGTGGCGATCGCCACATCGCCACCCCCTCTGGATCCGGGCCTGCTCCAGTAACTGCTGATTGTTTCTACTGAATGTGCATTTATCCGTATTACGATTCCACAATTACGCTCGAGATGCAATGCAACTGGTGAGGATTACACAGTTTCTTTCGACGTTCCCCAAGGAAAGAAGTCATCTGTTGAGGTCAAACTTGTGGGCAATGATTTCCTCTTTCATTCCATTAATTTGATGGTTTAAAAAGTCTCTAACAATATTACTAAAATGGGGGGGGGTTTGCTCCATCATGCAAAAACCAATGTTCCAGTCTGAGTTGTAGTGGCACTTTGTCAAGTAGATCCGGGAGAGTGTTTTGGAGAAATTCTAAATAAGTTTCGCCATTTAGTCGATTCGGTCAAATAACTGGACCAATTAAATATCGATCAATAACACCGATCCAAACATTTATTTCAAACTGGCGTTGGAAATGTGGAGGAGTTACTGAATGAGGGTTTACATCGGAATACTTATGATAGTTATGTAAATTTGCAATTTTGCAGGTAATACAAGTTACATCAGTAGGTACAGAGAATTTTATTTGTCAGAAATTCACTCGTGCGTGTTCATTTCGGTAACAATTCTTGCACTTTTAGGATATGATATGGGTGTAGTAGATTACGTCTGATCACTCGGTGCACAGAAGTTTGCGATATGCCAGTTTTGTCGAAATAGATTTCTAGTACTAATATGCGAGTCATCTTCAATTAATTGTATTCAAAATAAATTCGTCTTGTGCCCTAATTTCAATAGCACGTTTTCGATTGTTACTGAGAAACATGCCTGTTTGTTGAACCCGTCTTTCAACATTGAAAAATGTTTCTCTATGGGGATTACACGATTTGGAGATCTTCTCCGATATTCTTCAACACTTCTTCTGTAGTTTTCTTCATAGAAACTTAACACTAATAGCATGTCAACTTGTTCGCTAAATGAAAACTTTCCAGCCATTTTTAAAACAATCAGCAAACAATTAAATTCTAAAATTAAATGACTTTTGAATGAATCGTTCAAATGGTTATTTAGAAAGAAAAAACCGCGGATTGCTATTAAATTAGAAGGTGGAAATTGGAGATAGGGGTGAAAATACAACCCTTACGGTTTTTTGAGTATATCTCGAAAACGAAGCAAAATTTGAGGGTATGGCATAGGAAAAATTTGTAGATAATGAGATTTTCTACCGAAATAGCTTATTTAAAACTTAAAAAATATTTATTTACTGCAAAATATACTAAAAGCAATTTAACAAAAAAATGCAAAAAATTCAATTTTTTTTTACTTTTATGCAAGTAACTGTTTATGAGCACAGATAGGTATAGTCATTACTTCATAGAAAAAAAGTATATAAAATTTCCTTCAAAACAAGAGGTTGTAGAGTATTTTTGGATGAAAATGGACTGACATATGGCCGCTCAAACTTAGTCGATTTTTCGATTTTCGTCGCGTTTTTACGTTTTAATTCTCATTTTTTGCAAAAAAGAAAAGAAATAAGACGTTCAAGGATTTTCACGTGACTTGTTCAAAGGGTCATTAAAAATGAAAAAACTGCAGGGTGCTATTAAATTAGAGGGTTGAAATTGAAGATAGGTGTGAAAAAGCACTTTTGCAGTTTTTTAAATATAGCACGAAAACGAAGCAAAATTTTAGTACAGTTCATAGGAGAGATAGAGAGAATTGAATTTCTCATCGAAATGGCTTACTTAAAAAATTTAAAAAGAAAATTTTATGCAAAAAATCGTTAATAAACAATTTTTTGATCTTTTTTACTTTTTTAATAAAATAATTTAGTAAAAACTTGAGAATTTAAGTACAATAAAGTTTATTAATAATGTATATACAGTGTGTCCACGGATGGAGTTGACAAGAGGAAAAACTCTTTTATTTTTGACTTTATCGAAAAATGTCACTCTTTATATAAAGAAAGAAAGAATTAGACTGTCATACAAACATCTCACGGTGCTCATGAATTAAAAAAACACGAAAATACTCAAGAGAGAAGTACCCTTATTTATTATTTTAGACAACATTATTATAAAACAAATCTGTTTATAACCTTAAATAATGTCCTAATATAAATTTTAAAATAAAAAATTCAATTCTGACTTTTACTCTATACGTATAGCTACTTTCCACCTCAAAAATTAAAATTAAAAAATAAAGTAGTTTGTTTATTTTCAAAATTAAAGTAAATTAAAATTATTTTTTTAAATTTCCAATCTAATATTTATTCTAATATAAGAAAATTTTTGTACTTTTTTTCAAATTTCTAGAGGGGTGCAGCTGCCCTCCCCTGGCCCCCCTTGGCGACGCCCTTGCGCCCTGTATCTTTTCGAAGAATTTGTGTTAAACTTGCATTGGTTTCGGTTTATCGAATTGTTCGAATCCGATCGACTCGGAACTGCTACTTCCCTAACACCTTTCGTATTGGGTGAACTAGACTGTATCTCCTCGCATCTCCGCAAAAAAAAAGAAGAAACCGACTCCCTCTACGCTCACGCGTGGCTACGCTACTGCTAGTAAGAACGCGATGACCAACTCGTGCGTGTCTTCGGCATCTGGAGGCGCACAGATCCACCATTTACCCATATTCGGCGTCTGTATGCACCGCGTTAAATGACCCAAAGTGAGTTATCGACAGCGCCGAGGAAATTGTGAAGATTTTCGTCCTTGCCAGTGTCCTGCTTGTGCACATCCGGCGCGGCTCGCGTTTAAACTTTCGTTTTTGTTGGCAGGCTGCAGGAGCTAGTGTTGGATCAGAATCTGCTGAACGTCTTGCCTACCACCCTATGGGAGCTCGCGTTTTTGAAGATACTCAAAGTGGCTGGCAATCGACTGGCTCTGCCCCCGGACAAAATCGCAGATATGAGGGCGCTGGTTCTGGCGGTGAGTGATTTATATTTATTTGATTGCACTGTGTAATATGGTGGTATTGAAGTGATTGCGTCATGCGGTAGTTTCATGTTAATAACGTTGTTGAAATAGGTCATGTCTAGCACATATTCTGTTAATCATAGCCACATCAAAACAAAGTTTGAACTACTGTTTCGTTTGTAATGCAGTCTAATTTATTGTATTAGGAACAAATTGTACATAGACAAGGTGAAAACTTCGCATTCGTGGGAGAAATTTTCCGACTCGATTTTTTTGCATATTCAGATTCGTGAGATGTTCCTTAACATTAAACAAATATTTTTTTAAAAAATTGTAAAAATTGGTTTTTTCACTCCGGAAATTTTTTTTTAGGTTTTTTGGCACATTATAAATAAAAAAGTTCCTATGCACTATGCCTCTAAAATTGATAATTTTAAAGTTATAAACAATTTAAGTTGCTAAAAATGCGAAAATGACGATTTTCAACGGCCTATTTCCGGATTAAAAATTGTTATTTTTGATGTTGCCAGGTACCTAAATTACAGTTTAAACATCCCCCTACAAGATGCTGAAGAGTTTTTGGGACTCGCATTATTCTAAAACCTTGTTTTTTAATTGTTAATAAAGTGCTATGAGCCACGCGCGCGCCTCTCATACGCGGATTCGTTATTTCGTCTAGCATTCTAAGTACTATTATTACTCACAAAATAATGTAAAAATTCATTATTTAAATTTCATAATTCGTAATAATTTTATTTAATTAATTCAAAATTGTACGAATAAAGTACAGAAAAAAATAAAAGGGCAATACTGAATATTATTATTATCACACATTTATTCAATCATAAGAATTGTCACACTGTTCTAGGTTACAACCACATAAAGGTAACCACACAAGTGACATAGTTTTTCCTACAAGAACAAGCTTAAGTCTTACAGTTTTTTGTACATTTACATTGTTTAACTAAGACGTTGGGTAATGGATCTTTGGTAATAATTTTAGGTAATAATTCACCTGTTTCATTTTGATAACCAAATATTGATATTGAGGAAAAATGGAACTTTTCTATATGTACGTTTGTAAAGAAGCTCTTTAGACGTGTAATTTCAATGCATCGGAAGAGTATAGTATTTTACTTAAATTAATACCCATACCACTACAATGAGACAAAATTAATTTTCTAGCTTCATCGGCTGTTTCGCCTTGTTTATTTAATATTTTTAGGTATAATCTTTGCAATGCATCAAACTCTTCATTGCTTAATTCAGACATAAGCTAAAGCCGCTAAACGTAATAGCGCTTTATTAACAATTAAAAAACAAGGCTTTATAATAGCGAATGCGAGTTCCAAAAACTCTTCAGCATCTTGTAGGGGGATGTTTAAACTTTAATTTAATTTTTCAAAATCGTCATTTTCGCATTTTTAGCAACTTAAATTGTTTATAACTTTAAAACTATCAATTTTAGAGGCATAGTGCATAGGAACTTTTTTTTGTTTATAATGTGACAGAAAACCTAAAAAAATTTTCCGGAGTGAAAAAACCAATTTTTACAGTTTGTTTAAAAAAAGTTTGTTTAAACAAATGGGCACCAGATTTCCGGCCAGCATCATCTTGATTCATGTTAAGGAACATCTCACGAATCTAAATATGCAAAAAAATCGAGTCGGAAAATTTCTCCCACGAATGCGGTTTTCGCCTTGTCTAACAGGGTTTCCTAACGATAATGTAGGCCAGGAAAATAATCTGGGAAATTACCATTTCGTGACTTTTTGTTTCGGCAAGCTGAATTTATCACTATAGATGCTAAATATTATGTACAATAACATATTAGTTTCCACAGTCATAAAAATGGGGGGAAGACTGTTTACAGGGTGGTTAATTGTATAATTTTTACGTAAATTCACGTTTTTCGCTTATAACTTTTTTCCGTTCATTTGCACGAGAAAACAGTAACTTACTTTTTTTTTCATCTTCAAAAGACCTACAAAATTAGCACTCGCGCGTCAAAAAAAATTGATTAGATCAAAAGTTATAAACAGAAGAAGTTTATTTATGACTTTTGAATTAAACATTTATAAACTGCGTTATTATTACCAGAAGGTTTTGGCATCGCATCCTCACATTCCTTATCACTGTGTAATAACTCACTCGAAATCTGAAATTGGTAAGTTGAATAGTTTACAAGTTATGGCCTTATAAACAAATGAACTAATTATTATTCTGGACGATCCCGAGCATCTTCCACAATTGCACTGATTTTTTTCATGGTAGATTTCATAATAATACATTGAACTCTATCATTTTTTTAATTTCAAATATGCAACCTTGATTTTTTTTTATTTTTTAGTCTTAGTTGCAAAATGAAATATACGACGCACGAGCGTGATATAGTTATATATTATGCTTATGAAGCTTATGAAAAGAGCCTTCAGTTAAAAAAAAAATCGTCAAGATTCGTTGAAAAACAACGGAGTTACAGACTGTCAAAGTTGACGGCCTATTGTTAAACAAATTAGGTGGGTAGCGGCAAAAAAATACTGTTATAACCGGCAACCCGAGTACTTTCCTAGGTAAAAATATTTTATTTGTGGAAGTATGTTAAGTGCATAAGAAATATTGTCAAAAGTTAGTGGGTCGATTGATTTTCAGCGAGCCGTGGCGCGGCGGAAGGGTGGAGGAAGCGAACGACAGCAAGTCCGAAGAAAATGACGATAATATTTATAGTCCTGCCGTTAAATAAGCGAAATTCGCTTGAAAATAATATATTTGACAGTCTGTAACTCTGTTGTTTTTCAACGAATCTTGACGATTTTTTTTTTAACTTAAAACTCTTTTCATAAGCTTTAAGAATATTTAACTATATCACGCTCGTGCGTCGTATATTTAATTTTGCAACTAAAGCTAAAAAATAAAAAAAATCCAAGTTGCAAATTTGAAATTAAAAAAAGAAATGATAGATTTCAATGTATTGTTATGAAATCGACCATGAAAAAAATCAGTGCGATTGTGGAAGATCCTCGGAATCGTTCAAAATAATAATTAGTTAATTTGTTTATAAGGCCATAACTTGTAAACTATTCAACTTACCGATTCCAGATTTCGTGTGAGTTATTAGACAGTGATAAGGAATGAGAGGATGCGATGCCAAAACGTTCTGGTAATAATAACGCAGTTTATAAATGTTTAATTCAAAAGTCATAAATAAACTCCTTCTGTTTATAACTTTTGATCTAATCAATATTTTTGACGCTCGAGGGCTAGCTTTATAGGTCTTTTGAAGACGAAAAAAAAGTACTTTACTCTTTTCTCGTGGGAATGAACGGAAAAAAGTTATAAGCGAAAAACCTGAATTTACATAAAAATTATACAATTAATCACCCTGTAAACAATCTTCCTCCCATTTTTGTGACTGTGGAAAGTAATATGTTATTGTACATAACATTTAGCATCTATAGTGATAAATTCAGCTTGCCGAAACAAAAAATCGCTTCCAACTCTATATTTCCTGGCCTAAATGATCCCTCAGGCAACCTTTTCTTTTTGAAAGGCTTTTAAATTTCATTTTTAGAGAAAATAACTACATGTAGGTTGTGCGGCTTCTACATGTAAGTCATGTTTGTGTTTTAAATGGAATTGTATTCTGATGTTTTTTAAATCTGTAATTCTTGATTCTTGGTATTTTTCTAGATATTCATTATTGCAGTATACATTTTTAGTTTACTACATCATTTATGTCAAATCATTATCAAATGTCAAATAAATTATAATAAATTGTACAGGGTGACTCAACGATTGGTTAAAGTAGATTTACTCCGAATTGCTAAAGTTCATCAAAAACTATTTCTACAGTCTGATAAGTACGCTAACAGGGCACATATAAAAAATATTTTAAAACATGCAGGGTGCTCCAAAAATTTGTGACAAACCAAACTTACATTTTTTTAAATGGAACACCCTGTATTTTACAACATTTTTAGCTTCTTCGTTTAATTTGAAACATTTTAATATAAAGTTTCCTATAAGTATCTAAATTTAATAGTTTCTGAAATAATTGGAACTAAATAAAAAATATTGCATTTTTGTACCTGTATTTAACAGTAGCTATCCTCGTTATATTTAAGAATTAAAACAAGATTTTTGGTACCGTATTACTGTAAAGGTGGCTTGAGAACGTCATGGATGCAAATTTTGATTAGTGTCTACAGGGTGTTCGTAAAATAATGACAGATTTGAAGAAGTTTAAACTAAAAAATCTTAATTTTATGTATATTTTTCAATCCTTAAGATCTTTTAAAAACTAACAACTTTTGTTAACCATGTCCTATACCTATACTCAATACTTCTGGAGATATTCGCTTTTTCAAACAGATAGTATGTACAGGGTGACCAAAAATTAAAAAAATCAAAGTTGACAAGAGAGAAGTACGATTAATTTTTAATTTATAGAGAAAAATGTAATGGGAAAATGTTACTCCATTTAGATTCTCTACAAACAGGTAATTTTCTTATTATCAATTTGACGCAAAAGAGATATTTTTTATACAAAGTTCTGCTTTTTGAAAAAATTATATTAAATATTTCACATATGAGATAGGAGATTTTTGGCCACCCTGTATATGCTATCTCATATACAGGGTGGCCAAGAATAAAAAATCAAGCTTAGAACGTGATTATGAGACTTTGTGTTTCGGCAATATTGTATCAAGATCTGATCTTTTGCGGAGAGATTTTTTAGGATCTCCGCAACTAATTTATGTATGAGGACAATTTATTTTCAAAAATATTAAAATTGAACAAATTTCGGCCTTACAAACCTAAATTTATACATACCTTAAGGCCAGGCGATTCTGATAGATTCGAATTTAGTTCTTTGACACGAGGAAAGTTAGAAAATAATCCTTAAGGTGTGGTGTGAGATTTATAAAGATAGAGTAATTGGATCATTCCTTTTTCGTGAAACATTAAATAGCAAACGATTTGAATGTGAACGTTTTAAAAGAATTTTCCAGAAGAACGACCACTTGTATTGACAGAGAAGGTTTAGGGAAATTAGGGAAATGAGTTCACGATAATTCAATAAACATAGAAATATAACGGAAAATTTAGATAAATTTGGAACGAATACATTGAAGATGATTTTTTCGAGACAAATCATTTGAATCTGGTTCGGGCTGAGGCAATACAGCATTGGGGGTAATGAAGGTTTGCAAAAAATGTAATAAAATTTCCAGGGTCGTATTTAAAAAAATTAAGTTGATGGTCCGGGAGAGACGAAACGTTACATATAAAAATTGATTATGCCACTAGACAGAGGGTATGAAAAAGTGTTCTATTTTTTCAATACCTTTTTTACCTTAAACAAGGCTGAAATCATTCATTAATGCTATTAAGCATTAAGATGCGAATTTGTTACAGTCTGTATATGATTTTTTTTTCTCCTAACTTCAAAAATAAAAAAAATTACCCTGGTCATCATTTTCAACGGGAAGTCCGTACATTCACCTATACAGGGTGAGTCATAGTTGCAAAAAAATATTTTTTATATACATAGGGTATAGTTTTATGGTAAGTTATGTATTTTAAATGAGAATCGTAGCCGGTTGATTCTGGATTCTGGGAATACTGGGTATCATTTGCACATCCTGAAAGTATATAATTTTATATATGCATGTATATAATTTAATAAATAAGAAAGTCATTACAAATATCGCGATTAACTACCATTTCCTGTAACACTTGGTAGAAATCAGACTTGTAAAATTGCTGTTGAATGTAATACCCACTGATATTTGTCTTAACTAAAAAAGTATTTTATATTACTTTAATGAAATTAAAAAATACCAAATATCTTTATTCCAAAATTGCAGTTTATTAAAATGAATCTGTGTCAATTTTAAATTAATTTTACGGATCTCATGCATATTTAGTAGTTTACATTGTTATTTGCAAGGTTGTTGACGTTTCAACGATCAGTCAACCTTTAGATAATTTACCATCACTTTCAGTTGAAAAATAATGTTTAAAAATTTTATAATAATTGATTGCGAAATGTATATAATTCAGTGATAATTCCCAGATACTAGTTTACCATTTTTATGAAGCTACAGACAATTTCGTTTAAAACTGTTATCTAGTTTACACAAGTAGAAGAAACAAAACGAACTAATTTGATTTGACGTTACAATGTGCGAAACCATAAAAAAATCCAGTGAGAAATACCACAAAATTTATCAAAACATCAGAAATAGTTCATGGGAATGAGTTTTCTTATTCCATAGATTATCTATCGTATAATTAGCTTAGCAAAATATAATAACGTCTCGCGAATACAACTGCGTTAACAACAAATAAAAGGAAATCAGTGACAGGGAACGAGAAGAACTTCCAACGCAAAAAATTCATCTTGTTGACTGAATTGATGAAGTCATTATATTTTTAAATAAATATTTATAGGACTAGGTCTATTAAAAAAAAGTAATTTTGTATTTAGAATTTTTATACTTATCGCGTAGAAGTTAGTCAATGCCTTAATTAAATATTCTTAGAAGCAATTATTTGTGCTAGTGTACTATACTATTTTCCGCTTTCCCTTTTGTAATACTTAATTAAATAAATAAATGCCTATTTAATGAAAATTAATAAATGTCATGTAGGAATCAAGGTACCTACCTATTTTTATTCAGAGTAAGTTTTATTTGAAAAAAAATCACACACTTTACGTGTAATAAATTTCAAAGTTAGACAGTTTTACTGGACAGGATGTTTTTTTAATTGTCAGAGTTTCAAATATGATTGCCTGAGTATTTGAAACTGTTCAGTATATAATTATTTCTGATATCTATATTTATTTGCATTTTATTTTCTGTGCAGGAGCCTGAAGAAAAACTTGAAAATGCCCATATCAATGGACTGACTACGCTTAATTTGAGGTCAAATCGATTGAAAGGTCATATCATTCTTGGAAATTATGGTGTAAGTATTAGTTGCTTCACAAGAGACAGTGTCATTTATAAAATAGTTTTTTTTCTGTAGCAAATGCTGAAATGTGCTTTATACAACTCAAATCAACGGATCATTCTGCATTTAACCGCAAGAGTAGATAAACAAAGTAATAGTTTAACAACAATAGTAGTTAATACTTTACATTTTTAATTGTCATTTATTCAATTTATTCATTTACAACTTCTATTTAATTTTCATCTTCATTTGAATTAATATGAACTTTAAATATACAATTAACATTTCTAGAAATTCCGTCACTATTTTATTCAGTACATGAATCTTTCTCTTTACTGAGTCTTCTATATAAGCAATAAGTAAGATGCTTGTGACCGACTGTAGATTTATAATTTATAACAAATATTAGGCAACCATTTTTACAAGCGTCTTACAATTTGAATAGGAAATCAGAATTATTTTTAATATTTTAGGGTGAAATATAGATAGGAGAAGCATTAACATATTGAGATGCCACGTAAAATTCGTTACTTTATTAGTGTTTCATTTTTTTCAGAGTTTAACGGAGCTGGATGTTAGCGAGAACAGCATCGAGAACTTGGATCTAAGTGCTGTCGAGCAACTACAAATTCTACAATGTTCGCGAAATTCTCTTACAACATTAACAATCCACGGAAAAAATCTAGTATCACTTATAGCTGGAAATAATAGTAAGTAAGCTGAAAACTCATTTAAATTGGTTCAATGTTTTACATTTACTTGATCAAATTTAATACGTCTTTCATATTTCGTTTCAGGACTGAAAAATTTAAATATACTCCACCCACCCACTGGCCTGAAACACATGGATGTGTCCTACAATGACTTGGAGGCCCTTCCAGAGTGGTTATCCGGCTGTAGTGAACTTCGATCTCTATTCGCCAGCAACAACGCTCTGGTGTCCTTACCCGATCATCTATTTTGCAATGAAATGCCTTATTTGCACACCCTCCAACTGGCTTACAACCAGCTCCAATACCTTCCAGCTATTCAGAGGCGGCTTCCAATCCAAGAACTGTTCTTACAAAACAACAGCCTGTCGACGTTACCGGAGAATTTTTTTAAATTCGTGTACAGCATCAGAGTCCTGAATTTGTCCAACAACAGGCTATGTGACTTGCCGAAACCGGACGACGCGGTACAGTTAGAAAAGTTGTTTATTACAGCAAATTGCCTGATAGATAAATCCTTGGATAGGATGTGCCCGTTTCTGAGGAATATAAAAATTCTTCACGCAGCTTACAACAATTTCACTGCCTTGCCTGAAAGTTCTACGGTGTTTTGGACTGAATTAGAGGAACTGGTGCTTTCTGGTAACAAATTATTGAAACTCCCCGACAATATAGACCGCTTGAAACACTTGTCGGTGCTGAGGGTTCATTCGAACTTATTACAAAGTGTTCCAAAGTTGAACAGTCTTCTGTCACTAAGGGTTCTAGACTTAGCTCACAATCAGTTAGATAGAATCGATCTGACTGCTTTGATACCACCGAATTTGAAGTTCTTAGACTTGTCCTGCAACACCAAACTCCATGTAGATTCTCACCAGTTTAATACCTACAGGACTCAAAGACCTATGAGCCTCGTGGACGTATCCGGAAAAAACCGAACAAGTCTACCACTGTCCCCTTCCCCTTTTTGCGAGAATGACTTGACAGACTACAGCTGGTCGGTGGGGTTCTCAGAAACGGCAGGAAGTAAACAAAGGTTGTACATCTCCCAGATTCGTCTTCCTGCCTTTTGCAATACCGAAGCGTTGTTCGCTATGTTTGATGGGGAAAACAACAATGATATACCCTTCGGTGTTGATAAAGTGGTGCCTAGGATACTCCTAGAAGAAAGGACAGTGAAAGAAACAGCCCACGATTACATGAAGTACACCATGCTCTCTGCACATAGGGAGTTGAAAGACAAAGGCCAAAAGCAAGGATTGAACGCTATCATCGTTCACGTTCTAAAATCAAAGCAATCTGCTGATTACTCGTTCTGTGGCGGTTTAAAGAAGTACGTGATGAAAATAGCTAGTGTTGGTGATATTAGAGTTGTGCTTGGCAAAGCAAATGGTCCTGTTCGTCTCTTACCAGTGAAGCAGAGAAAGCAGATACGGACCAATCCACAGATACAACTCATGGTACCTGATCCAGATGTTACAGAGTTGTACCTGGACGAACAAGACGAATACATGATCATAGCGAACAAGAACTTGTGGGACGTCATGAGTCCTGAAAATGCTATAAAGGAAGTGAGCTTGCAAAGGAACGTCATCTTGGCAGCCAAGCGGTTGCAGGATCTTGCCCAGAGTTACGGCGCTGAAGAAAACCTCAGCATCATAGTAGTCAAGTTTAACTTGTTAGGTTCTGATGTAGATGTACTAATGAGGGAGTTGAGGCAGACCATCAGAAGGAACAAGTACCAAAGTGAAAGTGGTAACTCGAACCTAAGTTGTCAGCCAGGTTGCTGTTGCGAGGCCCTTAACAATGAATGCATAACCTGCATAGAGAAAATACCGGTGCCTCCTCCTATGATTATGTGCGACGACAGATCGTCACCTAGCGGTCAGAGCGAGCACGCTTGCAGCGACTGCAACTCTTCGGCGAAGCTCTTCATTAACCAGCTGAACAAGCAAAACGAAACTAGATCCATAAGAAGCGTTACCCCTTCGATTTTCGAGTCAGCAGAGGTGAAGGCTAGTCCGGAAAGAAGAAGTTACAGAGGAGTCGCCAAAGCCTTACGCCAAAGAAGGGAAGAAGAGAAAAATCGCGACGATTCCGACTCCGCTTTGTCAGAAGAACAGTTCAAGTGCTGGGAATACATGTTGGAGCAGAACACCCAGCTTCTGTTTGACAAAGAACTGAATACGCTGAACAGGAACATGCGGAATAAACCCGCCTTCTCGATAAAGACACCCTCCCTGTCGAGGAGCTCCCCTCACTTGGCAGACGCTAATAACAACCCCCCGGGGACGTTTTTATCCAAGCAATTTGGGAGCGCCAGGTCGTTTAATCCTTTGCTGACGAGATCCAGCTCGCGGTTTGGGCTCGATAAGAAGTTATTAGGGGGACCCCACGCTGCGTACTTTGGGAGCTTGCAGCGGCTGATGCCCTATAATCTGGAGTACGACTTCGCCGTCATGCATGAAAGGGGATTAGCGGATTCGCTGGATCTGGATAGGATGCAGCAATACTGGGGCGTGACCACCACGGAATTGTGAATATGAGTGTGCTCGTGTACATTTTAATAATGTAAGTGCTAAATTTTATTGTATATTTCAAATGTCAAGTAGTATTTAGATATTTTACTGAAATTATGATTCGGACTTTTAGAATTACACAGTCTTTTATGTTGTAAAAATAAAAGTAGAGTAGAAAAATTAAAAGTTATTTCCTCTATTTATTTTTTGTCTATACAATTTTTTTTGGTAGTGGTGCAAGTTCCTCATGGAAAAATAATAGGGGTAGTTTCATGTAAAGTTTTTTTCTTAGACGCCCTGTTTTTTATTCAGTGTGAATAATGTGCAAACGGTTTCTTTCTGAAAAACAATGTAGCCGATACAGGTAATTAAAGGGGTACAATCGTTAAAAAAATATATTAAAAGTCAAAATTTATAACATTTCTAAACGGTTCTGTAAACTCTAAAGCATACTACAAAAAAAAGGTATATTTGTCGAAATTTGGTAGCATGTATCATTTTCGAGAAAAATGAAGTTGCATAGAAGCAAGTGGGGGACAATTTCAGTATCTACTGTAGTATTTCGAGTTTGCACATTTATTTAATTAATTACCTTAATCTGTTTATTTTGATTTACTTTTTTAAAGGTTAGTTTACAACAAACTGAAACTTAAAATAAATTTTAATTTTTTTTTAGTTAATAAAATGTTTTACAATTTAACTCTTTCATGTGATACGTAAGAAATTAAAATTATAATCTTACAACTAAATGTAAATATTGTTGGTAGCTTGATCAATGGGAAGGTCCTCTTTCAATTTAATATTTTGTTAATGTACTTGTGCCTCTTTATGTGTGCAAAAAAAATGAAACTTAATTTTTCTCGAAAATGGAACATGCTACCGAATTTCGATAAGTATATATTTTTTATAGTATCCTTTAGAGTTTATAGAACCGTTTAGAAATGTAATAAATTTTTTCTTTTAACATATTTTTTTTCGATTGTACCCCTTCAATTACCCGTATCGGCGACACTGCTTTTCAGAAAGAAACCGTTTGCACATTATTTTTAACGCACAGTTGATGTTTACTCGTGTACAAATTTTGACATTTTTATCTTTAGCCGNCTAACAAACTTGATATTGCAAGGAAAATCCAAGGAAAATATAGGAAAATACTTACAAGAAGAGACATACAAAATTCGGCAGATGTTATGCGTATTAACGGAAAGGAAGTAAAATGTGTTAAAACAAAAACGAAATGTCTGTTACTATAAATGTAAATATTAATGTTAATAAGTAAATAAATTAAATTTTATTCTTTCATTGTTCTACTAGTGAAATTAAGTTACTTTATTCCACTAGTGGATAAAGTATTACTTTAGACGGTTCATATGTGAGGATAAAAGTCCGATTATAAGGTGATATAAGGTGGATAAAATAATATAATTCATTGATTTACAGTATTCGAAATACCATAATTCTTTAACTTAATGGAAAAGAATATACTAGAGTATCCAAAATGGCTCCAGTATTTGGTGGGGAACAAATGGAACGAACCCAAAAACAGTATTAATAATTTATTTAAATAAATAATTTAATAAAACAATATTGAACAAAAATAAATAAATCGACGACTAGAATAGCAAAACAGACACCTATAATATATTTATATATCTTTCATTTTGTTAATCTTCTTGACTAGATCAGATACTTTACAGTACAGCTTATCTGGGACTAGCACAGCCAATTTCAAGGTAGGAAAAAACCACAAATTTGTACAATAACGGTTGAAATTGACTGCTCGTTTTGTGCACCTGACACTTCCAGTACATCCATCATGACGTCACAGTGCAATCGCCAGCGATTTTTTTCTTCAAAATTGACATAGAAAAAACTTTTTACTGTCTGTTTGAAATTTTTGCTTGTTCTTGGTAGAAAATTTAACATTTCCCTTGTAATATCCTGCGAAAACTTAAATATTGGTACCAAAAGTTCGATAATCTTTGAAATAAAGAGAATAAATCACTTCTCCTTTATGTCACTTTCCAAGACACACACATCCTCTGTCGATTAGACTGCAAATATAAACTTGAATATGTATACAAATACGACTGTCCTCTGGGGGAGTAACTTAAAGGGGGGCACATTGGGGGGTCAGTAGTGTGCGCTGGACGGTTCCCCTAGCCACGAATCGGGGCTCGGGGGGAAGTCTGGGTACCCCCGAGGGCTGCTGTCGTTGCTGATGTCAGTGTCGGCGCCGGGGGGCATGTTGTGGGGGAGAGGCAAACCTGGCGGGTGGCCTTGACCTATAAAATGTTTTATTTTAATCAAATTCTAACAAAGCCATGTATTTTGGAAAACAGGACTTTTAGAAATTCTATTTTTACCTAAACTAGCGTAGACTGAGAGTTGGTCTGGATATGAAGAGAAATGGTCATGACCATGAGGGGGAGTGTGCCCAGGTAGGTAGGAAGGAGAGGTAGCACCGTGCAGGAAGGAAGGTCTTCCTATTCCACTATGCGGCGACGAGCCATCCTGATCCATCCCCATATTTACAACTGTTCCATAGCTGTCATCACTGAGATCTGGAAATAACATTGCAACGAATATTACGGAGTGCCTCAGGGATGGAATTTAGGACTTCTCCAAAGTAAATTAAAACATGCTTACCGTGATGACTAAAACTGTCGAGATCCACTTTCATGTCGTCCTTGTCCAACAGCTTGTCGTGCCTAGGTGACGAACCTCCTTTCATCGATCTGAAGTACTGGCTCCATCTCGTCCTTCCCGCGTCCTTCTTTAGTCTTTTCTCCTTTGCTCTCCTGAAATTACGCCTACCATTACGGATAGAAGTATTGAGTGTCTTTCGATGACTTTAGTATATAGTATAAAAGGTTCAATCAACACCAAGACCAAGCATTACATTTTTTATATTAATTTTACCACATATCTTAGCTACACACCATAACGTTTTGTTACCGTTAATAAACACACTGTTTACATTACTCAATATTTTGTTGCGACTGATAAAATGGTTTTCTGTTAATTATATTAAATAGTAATGTCACCTAAAGTCACTACAAACGCATAAACACAATAAGGAACAAGTCGTGCGAAATTTCTTACCTATTTTGGAACCACACTTGAACCACCCTCATGTCCAGACCCGTATCTTGACTGAGTTGCTCCCTAACGTGCCTGGCGGGTTTCGGACTGTTGTTGTATGCCGTCTTCAGGGTCTCTAACTGTTTCGCCGTTATTGTCGTCCTCGGTCGCTTGTTGGGTTGGTCGCCGTCTAGGCATTCAGCAGCTAAAAATAAGATTAATTAAATTGTCATCACACACTTCACACATCACATCACAACTGACAATCCACACATCACACACACATTACACACATCATTCACACATCACAACTGACAATTTAAAATTGATGGCAACGTTGTCTATCGACAGTCGAAAATCGTCAAAAATAACCATGTCACCGAATGTAAAATTTGTCTCTTTCAGAATCCGGGCAAAACAAGAGTTGACCTTCAAATAACCTTGAAAATAAGCTAACTTTATTAAACAGACACCGGACTAGTCTATCATACATTGAATTTTTTTTCTTTGTCGTGGGGCAATTAAATATGCAGTATATGCTTATTCTTATGTGGATACACAGTGTCTGCAAGTGCCCCATTTTAAAGTATTACGTCAAGAGCGCCAGTCTGACGCCACCCGGACCTGTTGCATGGACAAAAAACAGACGCGGGACGCAACAGGGTTCCAGAAAAGGTCCACGACAGATTGGCGCCAAGGACCAAATACCTACGAACGACTCCACACCAAGGGGACTCTCCAGCGAATGCTCGCTCCGACAACACGTCTTTTTCACAAACTTTGTTTTTAATAAAAATACTTTTATATTTTACCGTTGAAACAGCATTTTATTTTGCTGCACACCGAAAGCAACCCTCACGTAGACGTAGTTCCATATTGTTAATGATTGATTGTTTTACCGAGTATTACATCTATTACTAATGAAGTGACGTCACGCGCGAAGCTTGCAGGCTTTGTGGTAATAGGCAGTAATGGTATATAAAGTGTAAAAGAGAGATATTGATTTTGGATTTTTGGTGATGAGGATGATGCCTACCTTTGGTCTTGGCAGCCTCGTAGTCGGGTTTGCAGACCAGCTTCCGGTCCTCCATTAGGTAGAACTCGTCGCCGGTGTTGAGCTGCCTGGCGCACATCACGCAGGAGAAGCATTGGAGGTGGTAGACGTTGTCCTGGGCCCTGCGGACGACCTGCGTGGGCGGGATCCCCAGCTCGCACCCGGCGCACTTCGTGCCAAACCGTCTGCACCCACAGCACGCCACACATACACAAGCTGCATTGTTACATCTGAACTACTCTACTTTAGAGGGCGCCGCTGTCGGAGCTACTGGCTCCTAGGCGGGCGCGGGTTTTAGACAACAGTTGAGGATGTTTTTTTTTTGAAGCGTCATTACAAGTATTGTTTCTGTTTTGTGACGAATGGTGTTAGTTATTTCAGTTGGTACCTGATTAACTGATCCGAAAAACTATGGAAAATCACCGTCAACTCGTATCTATAACCATATATCACATAGAGAATAAAATGTCATAAACAGCATATACAGGGTGTACCAAAGAATATGGTCGTCCCATTAACTGCGTATTTTCGATGACAAAATATAACGATTTAACCCTACTTATCTAAATAAAAAAATGCCTCCGTTAAAAGATACAGGGTGTTAAGCATGGTCGGGGTTTTAGGAGGTCCGGACCCCCCCCCCCCCCCGAGTATACGCCAGCGGTCTTCAAACTTTTACGACTTGCGGAACACGGGCAACATTTAAATCTTTTGAGGAACTCCGACCCCTAAAAAAATTTTTCACACAGTTTTTACTGACTATGTAATACATTTAGGTAACTGTGATTATTTATTGTTTACATTTTTTCCGTAGGACAAGTCTGCTGCGTGCACACGTGGTATGCATCAGATGTGTAGCGTCAGGTTAAGCGCTGTTGTCACATTGTGATGAAACTCCCCAATATTAATACTCGCTGTATTTTGAAAATTGTTAATCTTACGTCCCTATTATATACAACTTTTTTCTTCATTTATGATTACTCTATCTCATGTTGAAGTAATGACAGTCAAACTTCTTACACCCTGTATATGCATAGCTTAACTTGTGCGAACTTTAATGTTTATGTAATTTCTAATTGACTGAAATTGGCGTTTAGAATTCTACCTGTTTCTGCGTAAAGTCCGGGCAAAAATTACTTTTTTTTATACATTTTTGGACTCCTCCAAGAGAAAACTACGCCCATGGTGTTAAGAATGGCCTTTCAAAATTATTTTTCGCAATAAACTTCGTCAACTTTTCAACTAGTATAAGTTTGAAATTTAATAGCGGTACTTCTTGTGATTAACCAAATCGTCAAGGGTATTATTGTAAACGACCGACGCGACGCCTAACAAAAAACAAACATTAACGTACGCTTTCTCTCAATGTCAAAGCATGAAATTTTATTTAGAAAGGTTACTCATGACACTATCTTGTAAAACTCTTCTTTTTCGGGATAAATTCGATTTTATAAAGTCACGCAAAACTGTTACTTAAGTGCAATTCGTTTATATGCGGCTATCTTTAACGTTGTATGTTCAAAAATCGAATTTATGTCGAAAACGAAGAGTTTTATGAAAAATGATAAAGAGTAAAAAAATATTCTTAATAAAATTTTACACTGCAACATTCATAAATTGTATATCAGAAAAAATGTTCTACGTCTATCTTTTAGGCATCGTTTACAATAATATACTTGAGGACTTGGATATCGTATCCCCTCAAAATTACGAAAAAATAATTTTAAAAGTACAATTTAAACACCCTCTATCTTTTAAGGGAGGTATTTTTGTATATAGGTAAGTATGATTAAATCGTCATATTTTGTCCCCGAAAATGTGCAGTTAATAGGATGACCTGCCTTTTATTTACACCCGGTATATTACAACTGGGATAGAACAGTCTAAATTATGTGCTTTCAATTTCTCTTATTATTTGCAGAAGCCACATCGCAGATGCATTCATTCATTTTGAAAGGGCTTCGCCTTTGGCTCACTTCCAGTTAAAAACAAATTAGGACTGATTTGGTTTCGGGACGGAAAAGGTTTCAAAAGTAATTTAGAAAATTAATGTGTGGGCCGATGCACGACGAGGCGGAAAATGATATTGAAATTAAAGAAAAAGAATACTATAAAACTTGAACTTCAGATATCGAAGTTAATAAAGCTATCAATGACAGCAAAGTGGTTACATTTATTGGAACTTTTAACTAAAGTATATAATTAACTGACAATTGTTTTTTGAAATGCATCTGTTGTGTTTGCCCTGTACAGGGTGTTCAGTAAGGAATATTATATACTTCAAGAGTAGCTTTAGGTCGAAATAACCCGCATTAGATTAAAGTATCTTAAAACAAATTTGCTTTCATGAAAAGTTATCACCCTTAGTTATAATTTTTCTTTTTTTTGAGATAATTTCATAACTTCAATCTTCAATAGTCTTTTGTTTTTCGCCATATTTTTGGGATTTTGGTAGAGCAAAATAGCAATTTTTATGTGATAAGGAAAACATTCTCTGTTTCTCAAAAGAGGGGGAAGAGGTGGGTGGAAAATACTGATGTACTGATTTTCACTGACGATTCAATTTTGACTAAATTCCAGATGTTATTTTAAAAACAAATATTTACAAGATTTCTATAACACACATAAACAATAATCACACTGTAACCTGTTCTTAAAATGGCCTTTTTATTCACATTCTTAACTTTATTATTAAAGAATTCACATTTTTAAACTGTGCACGATTTCACTGTCTGAAAAATATTGTACTTAAAAACAATTTATACCATATCCTGCCAAATTGTAGAACAATATCTTACCGACGTTAATATTTCCACAATGCAATGGCCAGCCAGAAGCCCTGATCTGAATCACTTAGAGGATATCAGGGATATAATGGGCAAACAGCCTAGGGAAGTTTTCTTTGTCCAATCAGACAACAAGCACCTTAGTCAAAGGTTACGAGAAATATGGGAAAACATCGACCAAGATCTTATTAGGACTCCAATTTCAATGAGCCGTTGAAGGAACACTGAACGTTAGACCTTTTGATCTCTTGTCAGGTCCTGCTATTCCAGTCCTTAGTTTTACTTTCCTAGTAAGTTTAAGTTAACTTTTTGCTCAGGTTGATAAGTATAATAGTTTTTAGGTAATACAATCCTGCATAGTTATAAACATGTGTATCTGCTTTAAATTACAAAAATAAAAAGGTGACTCAAATCAGGGTATTTTAAGAACAGATCAAGTTAAAAAAAATCATCTTAATCGCAAAAATGAGTCAGAAAATACTGAACATTTTAGACTTTTTAGAAACTTCAGGTGATGGGTTATCTTCTTTCACCAGTGTATTTAGTAAACCTATGTTTTCATTAAATAAAACATGTTCTATAGTACAGGATTAGAATGATATCAGGTTTGACAGATCTATCTCTAATAATAAACTTTATTTTATTTTATTAGCCACATCTCTAAGACTCGCCATTCAGATAGACCTATCAAATCTTAGTCAGTTGAATATTAAAAAGCCCCTATATCCAAATATGAAAAAATATATAGTGTTCTGTCAAAAAATATATAGGCTGATTCAAAATTCAATATAAAGAATTTAGAGGCGCATTTTCGAGATAAAAATAAGACTTTTTTCCTGAGTTCAAAATAAATTTAAACATTTTTCATTGTAAATAGTTATAAAATTTGAAAATATAGTGTGTATGTAATTCTTCATCAACGTCAGTATTCAGGGTAGCAAAAAAGTCGCCCTCTACAAGCAGCGTCAAAAGTAATGACATTTAAATTTAGCATCCTAAAAAACCTCCGAACCTCATGTTTTTTTTGTCAAACGTTCAAATCTATTTGGAAATTATTCCTAAAAAAATCGAAAAAAATAAAAATCTTTAATATCCTGTATATCGAAAACTATGAATTTGTAGACTCACATTTATAGTAAAAAAAGTCTTATTTTGACTTAAAAAAAACGCCATTAAATTTTTTGTACTGAATTTTGAATCAGTCTGTATAAAGGCTTGGAACTTTGGCCCGTACCATTTTTTTTTCTAAGTAAAAAAGAAAAAAAGATAACGAGATAAAATTTTATAATTAATAGGTATTTGAAGTATGTAATATTTTGTACTGGGCACTCTGTCTAACAGTTCACAACTTAAATTTTCATCCAAGTGCATTATTTATGACAGAATTATTTTCTTTCCTACATTTAATTTCCGTCGGGGTAGATCTGATGCTTACTTGAAAAAATCGTCCTTGCAGTAGAGTTGACCGTTCCTGGCGAAACACTTATCAGTAAGCTGCACTCGACAGTCACTGCACTGGAGACACTTCGCGTGCCAAGTTCTATCCGCCACTTTAAGGATGAACCGGTCCAATATCAACTCGTGGCAGCCGCCACATTTCGGTATGGTCGCTGGAACAGAGACAGATGTTCAGTTACGTAGAATTAAGGATTAGAGTGGAGCAACAGATTAGAGCTTTGGTGGATCTCAAATTAAATCGTTTAACCGAAATTTTGTCTAAATACGATAAACGGTTTTAAGTGAACATGTAAGGGGTGTTGAAAAATTGTACCTCATACACTCGATAAGGTTAATTTGGTAATATGTCGCGTGGACTGTGATGTATCTATAAGAAAAAAATTGATGTAGTTCGAAGATCTTTCTGTGAACAAAATTTAAGTAATGTGTTGATAAACATAAAAAAATATAGTTAGAAAAATAGCAGCAGACACTAAAACACAATATGGTAATTCAATTCAAACTTAAATTTATAAATTACAAGAAATTTTGTTGAATTTTGAAAGCTTGCATTTAAAAAAATGTTTAGAAGACCACGAAAATACAGGGGCAGTAGTTTTAAATTACGATGAGAAACCGAACGAAAAAATATGAAACCTTACTTTGAAACAAAACATTTTATGTAATAGTGTTTTTCAAAACGACAACAAACTTTGTGAAGTGCTCTATATACAGGGTGATTCACAAATGGTGACCAAAAATGAAACCTCGTATTCTTTGGTGAATTTTAAGGGTAGTATTTCCTGTAAAATTTTTATCTAGGATGCTTCGTTAAAAAATACAGGGTGCTAAACTTCAATAAATATTTTTAATTTTTTAAAATAATTTAGAAACTAGTAAGTGAAATAATTTGAAATTGGGTATTGGTATTTATGTAAGCATTGTCCAAAATCACTTACTAGTTTTTAAATTATTTAAAAAAATTAAAAATATTTTTTGAAGTTTAACACCCTGTTTCTTTGTAACAAAGCGTCCTAGATAAAAATTTTATAGGAAAGACTCTCCTTAAAATTCACCAAAGAATACGTGGTTTCATTTTTGGTCACCATTTATGAATCACCCTGTATAATGATGTGTATTTTGTATGTCATATGTGTCTGCTTTTTATTAATAATCCTTGGCTGACTTTGGCGTAAAGGTTTTTTCAATAATTTCTTAAATTTTGTTCACAGGCGGAAAAATATCTAATAAAGAAAAAAAACAGTGCCATAAATAAATAAATTGAAACTGTTTATTGAGACGACTATGGAAATATTAGCAGTAAGTTTGTTTTGATTTTAATAAATGTCAAATATTGTTTCTGTGATAATTATCAGCTATGGTTTTATTGCTGTTTGCAACAAGGACTGTTGCTTTAGTGCAAGACCGAACATCACATTATATTATACTACAGGGCGATTCCAGATACAGCGTTCAGAAAGCTGTAGAACAGAGGAAATATTCGACATTTGTCAAAGTCAGAATTTAAACTTGCTATGAACATTCATATCCATAGCCACTACAATAAATAATTTCAAAATTATGACTGTCAGTTTAAATTAAGATTATATTCAAAATTTTCAATTTTTTCAGCAAGTAATCGAATCTCATGAAGGTATGACGACAATGTTACGTTTAGAAAAAGTAAGTTAGGAATACCTTATTCACTCTTTTTAAAGAAATTGAGTTTAGTTAACAACACAGAATCATTCTACAGGTTGTTTTAAAGATGTGACAAAAATGGGATGAACATTCCTTCCTCCTGAAAGTTGTAAATTCTTTTCGCGAAATTCAAAGCATGGACTGATAATTTTATCTTCAGCTTGAGCTACAGAAAAAATATAGCTTGTTAAACTCGATATCTTGAATGGATAGATTTTATAACTAAAATACTATATTTCTTATATTTTAATTTTAAATTTTGCATACATTTATAAAAATAAGAATGTTGATATAATACAAAGCTTGTAAAACATGTGTCAAATTCAGTTAATTCCAACAAAAGTAACAATTTCATTAATTTGGATCACAATGAAAGAAAAATTGAAGCGGTTGAGGGTTTCTTTGGGATACTTTGAGGTTAAAAAAAAAATGAAAATATACTTATTGTTAGTCTATCCATTATTTAAAGGTTATCTCAACTCAAGTTTAACGATTAAATATCCCATTTTTTATTCAAGTTTCTTGCATCTATATTTTTTTATTATAAAAAAACGAAAAGAATCACTTGTACAGAATACTTTGAAGTTTTCAAAACCGTGCTTAGATTTTCTGTACGATCATCAGTTCAATTATTATCAAAGCCAAAGAGGTTATTTTTGTTTTGACTGAAGATAATTCCGTGATAAATCATCCTACAAAGCACTTAAACAGCTGAATCAAACTAAAAGATCTGATAGGTGGGACTGCCAAAAAAATTATTGAAGCCCGTGGAACTTTCGAAAGGAAAGTAAACATTTTAAATTTTTTTCGATGGATTTCTCATAATTTTTTAAAAGTGGTTAACGTTAAAAAATTTTTACTTTCAGGTCCTGAAACTGGAAATTCCAAGCTTCAAATTTCAGTTTTTTTTATTGATTTACAAATATATTTCGCCATGTTACAGCCTTTAGAAAATTAACTAAAAATTTTTTTTTTTTATTAAATTTTTGTGACTAGTTTATTTGATGTCAAATTAAAAAAAAATCAAACACAAACAATTAAGTTAAACACTTACACAGCAGCATGTCCGGTATATCGTCGATGGAAATCGGCGGCACCCTAAACATCTCAATATCCAACCCGTTTTTCTCGTCCCTGCCCGCACTGATCATGTTTCCCGCACTCCCGGCCTGCTGCGACCCTTCGGCTACCCGCGTCCGACTGACGTACGGATCGCAGTGTGCGCCGTCGCGACGTCTCGACTCTATCGACTGCCGGCCGCCCACCGGCGATGACAGCGCCAGGATTTGTGCCGTTTCGCGACGCTCCCTTGTTTTTCAGAGCGAGGTTCTGATTGGCGCGCGAGAGGGTGGCCCCTCCCTCCAGCCCGAAGCGCGGGACGGGGATCGGCCCCCGCGCGTGGGGTTGTTTGTGTACAGGGTGATGTCGGCGTGGCGGGCGGCGGGCCTCTGTTATTGAGATAAATGCGCTACATTAAAATTGCTGCTATTAAGTTTTCAGCGGAGTAGGCTGGCAGGTGTTGATTAAAGCCATTTTTATTATTTCGCCGCAGGAAAATTTATCAAAGCCTTGGTTTTTGAATTTGGTGGAACAAAATGAAAAAAATTTGAAAGCAAGTAAAGCAGTGTTTTCGAAAGATAAGGCAAATATGTGTAATTTTTATTTTGTTTGTAATAAGTCAACCCCTGTTTCCCCTGAACCCTGTGAACCTTGTTTAGTTGAACTGAAAAATGTTCATTATTGCATATACACTGTGTCCCAAAATAATGGAACAAAGTTCATATTTCTTTCCAGTTCAGATTTTAAAAAAATCGCTGAAACAGGAAACAGGTCAATTAGTAAATAGAAATTGTCACTTTTCTACAATATTTTCTATTTTTTTTTTGAGCCAAGTTTGACCTATAACATTACCGATAATTTTTTTTAACAGGACGCTCTATATTTTAGAATATAAATAGATAGCCATCTAAACACGAATTTAGTGATATAAGGTTATACTTACTTTTTTGTCATAGTTGTCAAACAAATGTAAAAAATTGTTATTTATGTCGTGACATCCTTAAAAACCTAACGTCTTACAACAACTATGGGCAGATGACACAGACAAGATTACAATTTTGCGAGGAAATTAGAAATTTATTTGAAAGACAAGTCAACTTAAAAAATCACATAATTTTCATTGACGAAGCAATTTTTTGCTTAAAAGGAACCATGAACAGACAAAGTACTAGGTTTTGGAGCCCAGAAAATCAGCATCGGATGTAAGAAAAACATACACAACGGCCGGAAAAAGTGAATGATCGGGCTGGAATAGTAGGAAATCGCATATCGGGTCCTTATTTCTTTGAGGGCAATTGACAGGCGATATTTATTTGGATTTTTTGCGTTTTCAGCTGATTCCAGCCCTGGAATTAATTTTTCGTCTTAGAAACTATAAAATATAAAGCGTGCTATTAAAAAAAATGTCGATAATGTTATAGGTCTTTCAATCATGGCTCAAAAAAATAGAAAATATTGCAGAAAAGTGACAATTTCTATTTACTAATAGACCTGTTTCAGATTTTTTTAAATTACACCTGGAATAAAAATATGAATTTTGTTCCATAATTTTGGGACACAGATAAATATAGAATAGAATATTTTGTCGCTAGTCTCTTGTCATGTGGTCTGATGTCTAAGTTTATATTAACTTTGTCCAGAAAACGTCCTGTTTTCGGGATATGGTCCTTCAATAAAAAACATTTTCTTAAATTTTCAAGAACGTGTAACTATAGCTTCACGAAATTTGATACAGCAATATCTATATACCCGCCACGCCACATATTAATGAAAATGTTTTACTCCTTTAAAATTTTCATGAATTTAGAAATTTTGATGTAAGTTTTTATAACAGAAACTTCAGTTTTTCAATTGAATTTTATGAATGATTAAAACGAAATAACTGATTTTGAATAAGTCTGATGTATAAAAAAATAAATACAAATTCAACATAAAAAAAATATGTAAACATTGTTGCAGAATTACAAGAAATAACGAACATCTTAGAAATTAGTTTTTAAAGTGTCTGCCATTTTTTAGAGAAACAACCTTTTTTCTTATTTCAAAATTAATATTTTACGTAAAGCTTCGTTAAACTTAACTTCAAGATTTTCTGTTATTTTCATTTACTTAAGTCTTATGCTAATGTTATATTATGTCGACATATTTTTTAAAATTTAATTCGTGTTTTTTAATTATATTTCGTATATGAATCTTGCCCAAACTTAGTTATTTCGTTGTTTTAACCTATTAACTAAAATTCATTTAAAAATCTATAGTTCCTGATGCAAAACAAAAAGAAAGTTCAATCATTAATATTCAATTTATTCTGATATTATTTAATGAATATCTGGGGGTTATAGAATTCGTATGTAAATAGATCAAGACGATTTCAGCAACGTTTCAGTGTCAACGTTTGGGATAATATTTCGAACAATAATTTACTGCTTGTGTATATTATAAACGATCGTTTAAACACAGATCTGTATACAACTTTCTTGATTTCATTGATGACGTAGGGCTTAATATTGTTCAAAATATATGGTATCAGCACGATAGTGCACCACCACACAGAGGGAGGACAAGTAAGTGCTTGGTTAAATGATCATTTCCCAAATAAATGGATAGCTCAACAAGGTCCAATAACATGGCCACTGCGTTTCCCAGATCTAAATCCTTTGGACTTTTATTATTTATGGGGACATATGATGCAGCTTGCCTACTGTGTTGAAATCACTACCCGCCAACAGTTACTTGAAAGAATTCAGGATGCAGCTAATCAGATAAGAAATGATCCAAATCTCATCCGTCGAGTGACGGGATCTTTAGTTCACCGATGGGAGGCTTGCATTTGAGCCGATGGTAGACATTCTGAACAATTTTTATAGTCGTCAGATTTGTTAATTTGGTTAATAAAGAACTAATGTGCAACATTAGTGTTAGTGTTTTGTTGAAACTTACCCTAAAATAACGTCGGAGATTTTTCAAGTAGTTCCCGTAGATAACCGTAACCCAATAAAAAAATTAGAAACTAGAACACGGAAGTCATTGGTTTATAAAAATTTATATTCGGTTTCTAGACAACGGTACGTTCTCTATCTTTTACTGTTCTTTGAGATGCAATACACTTTTTTTACAGACTCAATATCTTAAATGAAGGAAAAAATAGCAACAAAACAATTTTCACATATAAATTGTTGACTTAACTGTAAGTTAAAATGAAAATACCTTCATTTTCTTCTCTTCCTTAGCAGTTTGAAACCGGGGAGAAATCTTTTACGAGCAAGGAGGATATAAAATTTCCCCGGGACGTAAACATATAATTTTTACGATAGCCGATATATTTTTATTGTCTATCGGGGAAGTTATGAGATTTTTTATTTGCTCGTCAGGATCGTGATGGGGTCAGGCTTGTGGGGGTATTCGAGGATCTCGGTATCCATCATGGGACTTGTTTTACTGTTTCAAACGCTTTTCGGTGGAAGTGTATGAAACTAATATCAAAGCGTTTCCTACAGTTACAAAGTTCTGCGAAGGATATTATTGAAGAAAACAATAACTTTGTTAGTGGAGATATGAGAGCTCGTTTTGCTTCAATTGTGATGAAATATAGAGATTTTGCTTGTGGAAGTAACGAAAGGTTCTTTTTCTACAATGAAAAAAATCATTCTCTAATATTAAACTAACTTGTACATTCAGGTATTATTCTGACATTGGCATTTTTGTAGAATTGAGTTTGAGTATTAGAAGTTTTATAGTAATTAGTTTAAATTAAATAAACAGTAAGTAAATCTTACACATTTCAAGACTGTGTAATATTCATCTTCATAAATTGTAAATGTTAAATAAAATTTTACTAGGTACAAATACACTAAAAATAAGTACATATTCATTTTGAAATTAATACACCGTCATCAATTACCAGTAAACTTATAAAAAATGTTAACAAGAAACGAACTTATTTATTTTTAATATTAATTAGTTTTATTTGAACGAAACCTATTTAATTCTATCTCATACCACCTTGTCTGTTGTTTTCCGCACTGCTAGACAATTTGTCAACAACTGAAAGAGTGACCGCAAAATCCGCCTGTTTTTGAGACTTTGACAGAGGCGACAGGAAAAATCCTAAAAATATTCTAAAAATATCCAAAAACTCATGAAAAATGAGAAAACTTTCAGTTTTTCGAAAAGTTTCGAAAATCACCCTTATTAAGGTGTTCAAAAGATAAAAAGAGTGAACAAATTAAGAATCATCAATAGTTGTAAAACCCCAAATATTTCTATGTTGTTATCAAAATAATATTTTTTCACATTATTTACAATTATTGTATATTTGGGGGATGATTTTACCCCTTGAGAGGGATGACTATTTTTGAAAATGATTGATAATGTATGGGAGTAGTTGTGTATAAATTATTCTAATGAATGTATTTCGAAACATTATTTTTTTCATGCATTATAATTGTTTTATGTACTTTGGTTGAACTTAGAGGTGGTTTTACCCTCATTTAGGGGTATTTTCCTTGAGATCTATTGATTGTGGGTTATTAACGGTTCAATTATCACGTATAAAAAAAGAAGAAAAAAAATTGTAACTAATATATTTTTTGCATTTTTAGGCGTTTAGGGGATGATTTCACCCCTTTAGAGATATTATGGTTTGATTTTCAATCCAGACAAGACCGTATCAAATACGAAATTAGATATTTTCACGTTACGTTCATAATATTATTCTGTTAACAACATAAAAATATTTGGGGTTTTACAACTGTTGATGATTTATTAATTTGTTCACTTTTTTTGTCTTTTCAACCCCTAAATAAAGGTGATTTTCGAAAATTTTCGAAAAACTGAAAGTGATGCTCATTTTCATTTTTCATGACGAGTATTTGGATATTTTTAGAATATTTTTAGGATGTTCCCTGTCGCCTCTATCAAAGTCTCAAAAACAGGCGGAAAAATGGCTTTTTTTGCGGTCACTCTTTATGGCCGGTCGCCCAGTGCGGCTGTGCTTGGGCGCCGTTTACCCACGCGCGCATTCTTCAACCGGGCTTATACATTTCTACCATCTCCACTTTTAGTTCGACCAGATCTGTATGCTCTTGATCCG